CAAGATCTACGAAATCGAGTTCAGTACATCAGGCTACTGGAGTACGATTTTCGGGTCAGGGGATTAAAAATCGTCTACATGCAGCTCCATGCTCGACGGCCACGTGTCAAATTACAGATGAGTCCCGATTCACTTTGCACTTTCTTGATTAGGTGGTCGTGTCTTGCGATGTCGAAATGAACGTCACGACTATGTCAACCTGAGATCTCTTGACTGACTTCGTGGTTGACCGGTTATCTTTTTGGCGGAATCACTGTGACTGAGTGAACCCCACTCCATATTGCGTAAGGAAGGGTCATCGGGACAACCTACTTGCATCCTTTCTTGTCCGTTTGCAAGGAATGTGGGTTGACGTGTGTGTGTTTTTCTGTACGACAACGTCCATGCTCCAGCAGCACAACATCCATGACCAACAATGAGCCCAGTCCATTCACTATGTAGGCTTGCTATCGTCAGGCCGACGTTTTCTCACAAATGCTTTGAATGCGAAAAGGTTTGTAAATTGTGATGCATCTATTTTGTATTAGATACTTAATGTTAATCACATTTTGATCAATCAAACTTAAGCAGTGTCATTGTAGAATGAACATTAACTCCATCACACGTACCGGTCATGTTGGTTTGAACTGTGATGTTCCTCTCCACCCCTGTTCCGTTTATGTTGACACACGATATTGCTATTGTGTGGTTAGTGTAGGATTGTAAGGTTTCAATGTTGTAGTAATAGAGCTCATTTCTGTCTTGGTTGACAACAGGAGCACTCTTCGTGTTTGAAGTGTCCGTTGCATTACAGTTCTGTTTGCCCTGTAACATGAAATATATATCCATGATTGTAATTGTCCTGTTAGTGTGTAGATATTTCGTTTTCGTTCACTTCTGCAGACCATATCTTTTTGTGGAAGACAAATGTGCTTCAATAACCAAAAGACAATCATGTATTTCCATGATGAATGTATCTTTATCATAATGTAACGGTCAGAAAATGAAAAAGAGTAACTGGTGGTTGTACTCACGCCGCCCTCAGGCTGGTCACAGGTCACATTTATAACTCTTTCATGTTTGCCGTCCGATGTAACGTTTATCAGATACCAAAGGATGTTGCCATTTGGAAGTGATGGCCTGGTCCACTGTATACTGATGGAATCTGCCGTTGTACTCAGTACATCCAAACTAGCCACAGGGCCGGACGCTAGGAAAACGAACATAGTAGTTCAGACCGGTCTACATTCATGTTATGCAAATACATATGACGCAAATAGATATCCGGCATATACCCCCAGTCCTTTCGCACATCCTCGTTCTCTACTACAACAGGTGCGTAAACAGTGCAGTTTCTGGTAATATTACATGCGCATTGGGAGAGGGCTAATTTTTACCTGAAGCTGTTAAAGTAGTTAAACGAATAGGTGGTTCCTGTCGGTCACGGCTCTTGACAATATGATGATGAAAGAGGGTTAGAAAGCAGGACGTACATGAACATGAGATACATATATATTAGATACTGGAGTCGTATTGTGATATGAAGACATTTGAACTGCATACCGTGGTATGTTTGTATTTAATTTGTTCGGAGATTTTTGGAGGTCTGTTATAATTAAACACACAGAAGTTAAGCATGTTGTGTAGACACCCCTTTGTTGGAATGTCAAAATGTTATTTGGGGCTTCCCTCATAAATTACTCTGACGTGTTGACAAAAGCGGTGTTCAGCCGATCTCACTCACTCAATACGATAATTGAACAAACCTAACCATAAGTCACTTCAAAACTATTACGAGCACAGTGTAATCAAATATTTACATATGACACATCCATGGAACAGTTAAACATACCTCCAGTAAGCGTGGTATAATTCTTTTCAGAAACGGTTCCATTGTATTTGTTATATGCACGGACCTGTAATCAAATCAAGTTCATCAAGAGTTTGTGGTGAAGGTAAGTTACGGAATAAGTACATCACGTTTCACTCTTACCGTGCCTCACACGAACTGTATTGAAAAGCTTAAATATACTGAAGTTGACATTTGCTACATTCCCAGCAAAAGAATCTTATGCTACAACCTGAAATTGAAGAGGATAATGTAGTGTTCCGCTTACTTCAAATGAATATCGTAAATAACAAGTACCAATCCTACAAGTTGGTATTTACCTTAGGATTTAACTACCTTTCTTTGATAAATTTGGACTTTGTTTACAACACAAGTGTATGGAATCATCTGAGATATTTAGTGCTTTGCTATTAAAGGGGAACGGGATGATTTACATACGAGAACATACAATAGTGAGCCTTCTTTGTACACACAGTTTACCCTAACTCACCGAGAACCTGTAGTCTACTTGTGCTGTGATGGGTACAACCCGTGAGTAGTTACAGTTCGACTCAGGTTCAGCTGAAATGTTTAATCCTTGGGGATTTTCTGTCACGTTGTGGTTATGGTCTCGCTGTCAAAATGTAACGGAATAATCATACTCGATATACATTGTATTCAATGCATATGTACTCATCATACATATCCACCCTATTCCTAAATCTCCTTCCTAACTGTGTATATAAACTGCCGGGCAAACGAAAGTATACACTTAAAAATTAGATTTGACCAAAACATTACAAACGTTATCAAATCGTTACTAGTCTGAAAATAGTCGCCGAAACACTGTAAACTTAAAGTGGAAGACCACCACCATGTTTCTGTGTGTGCTTGTATGCGCGTGCGTGCGTGCGTGCGTGCGTATATGTATGTGTGGTATATCTATACCTGATCATGATGCACCGCAACGCATTTTCTGTTATCTAGGCAGGTTTGAGCTTGAGTAAACTTAAAGTAGTCATTGGTTATTCGTACACTTTTTTGTAATTAAAGTAATACAACTCTGTTCAAGTATAATGATCACATTTTTATCTTTAATGAAACATACCTGAGCTTCATACGACAGTATGTAGTATTTTATGTCGCCGTGTCTTTCTGTTTCGTTTGGACAGGAGAAGAAGACTTCCACACTCGTAAAATTGTCTTGTATGTGATCGATGTGAAGATTTTCTACCATTCCAGGAACTATGAATGAAACATTTCCTTGTCAAGATTTAAGGGCGCATTTAAGAATACTGTCGATGATTGTGTTTTGTGTCTTGATTGTCCTTAAACTATCGTTGTCTGAAAACGTAATGAAATTATGTTACAAATACAGTACCGACTTCTTTGGCATACTATTTTGGAACGCATATATTAAACATGGGAATATGGGTCAAATAGGTATAAGCTCTCTTAGAACATTCCGAAAAGGAGTCACAGACAGGTAGTGAAAAACGTATTAGAGAGAATTGATCAATAACAAAAGGATATATGACATCCTATAGTACATAAAGATAAGGGAAGTTCATTCTACCCCGAACATTTAACATCGGCAGCTTGAACTGAACAACAAAGGTTATGGTGATACAACAATCATATTTTGACACAGTATATTTTATAATTGCCTATATCACGCTCTTGCTTCGGCCATTAGATTGCTAAACAGATATGACAACGTCTCTCCTTCAGAGGCAGAGTTAAACCTTGGTTAAAACTGGGAATTGTCATTGTAACGTCACTGCGGAATACACGTGATATCTATATAACAATGGAGTTTTAAACCTACCATGACTGTTTCAACCAATTACGGATGAAAGACACGACTAAACATTAAATAGGCCCTTCACATATACTACTCAAAAGAAGTTAAAGAACACCCACATTTTCCTTAAGACTACAGTAAATCTGTCTTGGCTGGTGGGTATTGCAACACACATCCTTTAGATTGTGGGTGTTCTTTAACTTGTTCTGAGTAGTATACATACTGCATTGACAATGGATTTTATTATGAAATATGTTTAGTTTGGACAGGAGAAAACGAATTCAACATTCGTAAATTTGCCTTGAATATGATCAATATGAAGATGAATCTCTGATAAGGACCCACTATAACAGGATCATATCACGCACTGATCTTCAACATCATATATGTGCCAGTCTCGCATATTGCAGAACCACTTCATCATGGTAATGCTATCCACTTCATTCCCGGGTACGCGCTAAAATACCAGTATAATGAAAAAATTAATAAACTTCTTTTTTTCCGCCAGAATTTACAGCCGCAGATTTGCAATATATCTGATATATCTCGGGGCAAATGCATGGTGCTAGTATTTTCATAAACAAGTGAATTATTAAAAAAGGAATAATACATTTACATTTATGAATAAATTATTAAATATATACACACAATCGTGAGCCTTTACGATACAACAGATTTAAATAAAAGCGACAAAACCCTTTCCATAATCCAGCGAAATCTCTGCTAAGAGCAGAGTCGATTGTTAGATTCCGATTATATCATGAGCATGTGTTTATGAATCACATAGTGATGATACCAGGTGTTCGCGAAAAGGTGAGGGTATCCTGCGCCACCGGTGTCACCCGTCACAAAAGAAGAGATACTCTGATACTTTTTTTCTAAAACTATAATATGTTTTCACAGAATATTAATCAAAGGATTTCCCAAGTATGCTGGGTTATAATAATACCACATTGTTGGGATAATGTATTTGTAATATATATGCAATACCAAATGCTTTAGAATACTCTTTTGGAATGCGTAGTTGAACTTTGGCAAATATGTCAAATAGTTCAGCTATCTTAGAACATTACAAAAGGGGGAGGCGTCACATATGGTGAAAAACGTCACATGCGTGTTCTGAAAAAGATTTTGTAATGTTTGATACGTTGTTGTCTCTATGTCGAACGTGTAGAGTTCTTATGGGTTATTGGCAGTCATTGATATATGCATCACTATGTAGGCTTGCCATCGTCAGGCCGACGTTTTCTCACAAATGCTTTGAATGTGAAAAGGCTTGTAAATTGTGATGCATCTGATTTGTATTAGATACTTAATGTTAATCACATTTTGATCAATCAAACTTAAGCAGTGTCATTGTAGAATGAACTTTAACTCCATCACACGTACCGGTCATGTTGGTTTGAAATGTGATGTTCCTCTCCACCCCTGTTCCGTTTATGTTGACACAGGATATTACTATTGTGTAGTTAGTGTAGGATTCTAAGCCTGTAATGTTGTAGTCACACTGCTCATTTCTGTCTTGGTTGACAACAGGAGCACTCTCCGTGTTTGAAGTGTCCGTTTCTTTACAGTTCGGTTTGCCCTGTAACATGAAATATATATCCATGATTGTAATTGTCCTGTTAGTGTTAAGATATTTCGTTTTCGTTCACTTCTGCAGACCATATCTTTTTGTGGAAGACAAATGTGCTTCAATAACCAAAAGACAATCATGTATTTCCATGATGAATGTATCTTTATCATAATGTAACGGTCAGAAAATGAAAAAGAGTAACTGGTGGTTGTACTCACGCCGCCCTCAGGCTGGTCACAGGTCACATTTATAACTCTTTCATGTTTGCCGTCCGATGTAACGTTTATCAGATACCAAAGGATGTTGCCATTTGGAAGTGATGGCCTGGTCCACTGTATACTGATGGAATCTGCCGTTGTACTCAGTACATCCAAACTAGCCACAGGGCCGGACGCTAGGAAAACGAACATAGTAGTTCAGACCGGTCTACATTCATGTTATGCAAATAGATATCCGGCATATACCCCCAGTCCTTTCGCACATCCTCGTTCTCTACTACAACAGGTGCGTAAACAGTGCAGATTCAATCCGGTAATATTTCATGCGCATTGGGAGAGGGCTAATCTTTACCTGAAGCTGTTAAAGTAGTTAAACGAATAGGTGGTTCCTGTCGGTCACGGCTCTTGACAATATGATGATGAAAGAGGATTAGAAAGCAGGACGTACATGAACATGAGATACATATATATTAGATACTGGAGTCGTATTGTGATATGAAGACATTTGAACTGCATACCGTGGTATGTTTGTATTTAATTTGTTCGGAGATTTTTGGAGGTCTGTTATAATTAAACACACAGAAGTTAAGCATGTTGTGTAGACACCCCTTTGTTGGAATGTCAAAATGTTATTTTGGGCTTCCCTCATAAATTACTCTGACATGTTGACAAAAGCGGTGTTCAGCCGATCTCACTCACTCAATGCGATAATTGAACAAACCTAACCATAAGTCATTTCAAAACTATTACGAGCACAGTGTAATCAAATATTTACATATGACACATCCATGGAACAGTTAAACATACCTCCAGTAAGCGTGGTATAATTCTTTTCAGAATTCATGTTATGCAAATTCATATGACGCAAATAGATATCCGGCATATACCCCCAGTCCTTTCGCACATCCTCGTTCTCTACTACAACAGGTGCGTAAACAGTGCAGATTCAATCTGGTAATATTTCATGCGCATTGTGAGAGGGCCAATCTTTACCTGAGGCTGTTAAAATAGTTAAACGAATAGGTGGTTCCTGTCGGTCACGGCTCTTGACAATATGATGATGAAAGGGGATTTGGAAGCAGGACGTACATGAACATGAGATACATATATATTAGATACTGGAGTCGTATGGTGATGTGAAGACATTTGAACTGCATACGTATACCACGGTACGTTTGTATTTAATTTGTTCGGAGACTTTTGGAGGTCTGTTATAATTGAACACACAGAAGTTAAGCATGCCGTGTAGACAACTCTTTGATGGAATGTCAGCATGTTATTTTGGGCTTCCCTCATAAATTACTCTGACATGTTGACAAATCGGTGTTCAGCCGATCTCACTCACTCAATGCGATAATTGAACAAACCTAACCATAAGTTGACCATTCACTTCAAAACTATTACGAGCACAGTGTAATCAAATATTTACATATGACACATCCATGGAACAGTTAAACATACCTCCAGTAAGCGTGGTATAATTCTTTTCAGAAACGGTTCCATTGTATTTGTTATATGCACGGACCTGTAATCAAATCAAGTTCGTCAAGAGTTTGTGGTGAAGGTAAGTTACGGAATAAGTACATCACGTTTCACTCTTACCGTGCCTCACACGAACTGTATTGAAAAGCTTATACTGAAGTTGACATTTGCTACATTCCCAGCAAAAGAATCTTATGCTACAACCTGAAATTGAAGAGGATAATGTAGTGTTCCGCTTACTTCAAATGAATATCGTAAATAACAAGTACCCATCCTACAAGTTGGTATTTACCTTAATATTTAACTACCTTTCTTTGATAAATTTAGACTTTGTTTACAACACAAGTGTATGGAATCATCTGAGATATTTAGTGCTTTAGTATTAAAGGGGAACGGGATGATTTACATTCGAGAACATACAATAGTGAGCCTTCTTTGTACACACAGTTTACCCTAACTCACCGAGAACATGTAGTGTACTTGTGCTGTGATGGGTACAACCCGTGAGTAGTTACAGTTCGACTCAGGTTCAGCTGAAATGTTTAATCCTTGGGGATTTTCTGTCACGTTGTGGTTATGTCCTCGCTGTCAAAATGTAACGGAATAATCATACTCGATATACAATGTATTCAATGCATATGTACTCATCATACATATCCACCCTATTCCTAAATCTTCCTTCCTAACTGTGTATATAATCTGCCGGGCAAACGAAAGTATACACTTAAAAATTAGATTTGACCAAAACATTACAAACGTTTACTTATCAAATCGTTACTAGTCTGAAAATAGTCGCCGAAACACTGTAAACTTAAAGTGGAAGACCACCACCATGTTTCTGTGTGTGCTTGTATGCGCGTGCGTGCGTGCGTGCGTGCGTGCGTGCGTTTGTGCGTGCGTATATGTATGTGTGGTATATCTATACCTGATCATGATGCACGGCAACGCATTTTCTGTTATCTAGGCAGGTTTGAGCTTGAGTAAACTTAAAGTAGTCATTGGTTATTCGTACACTTTTTGTAATTAAAGTAATACAAATCTGTTCAAGTATAATGATCACATTTTTATCTTTAATGGGACATACCTGAGCTTCATACGACAGTATGTAGTATTTTATGTCGCCGTGTCTTTCTGTTTCGTTTGGACAGGAGAAGAAGACTTCCACACTCGTAAAATTGTCTTGTATGTGTTCGATGTGAAGATTTTCTACCATTCCAGGAACTATGAATGAAACATTTCCTTGTCAAGATTTAAGGGCGCATATAAGAATACTGTCGATAATTGTGAATTGTGTCTTGATTGTCCTTAAACTATCGTTGTCTGAAAACGTAATGAAATTATGTTACAAATACAGTACCGACTTCTTTGGCATACTATTTTGGAACGCATATATTAAACATGGGAATATGGGTCAAATAGGTATAAGCTCTCTTAGAACATTCCGAAAAGGAGTCACAGACAGGTAGTGAAAAACGTATAAGAGAGAATTGATCAATAACAAAAGGATATATGACATCCTACAGTACATAAAGATAAGGGAAGTTCATTCTACCCCGAACATTTAACATCGGCAGCTTGAACTGAACAACAAAGGTTATGGTGATACAACAATCATATTTTGACACAGTATATTTTATAATTGCCTATATCACGCTCTTGCTTCGGCCATTAGATTGCTAAACAGATATGACAACGTCTCTCCTCCAGAGGCAGAGTTAAACCTTGGTTAAAACTGGGAATTGTCATTGTAACGTCACTGCGGAATACACGTGATATCTATATAACAATGGAGTTTTAAACCTACCATGACTGTTTCAACCCATTACGGATGAAAGACACGACTAAACATTAAGAAGGCCCTTCACATATACTACTCAAAAGAAGTTAAAGAACACCCACATTTTCCTTAAGACTACAGTAAATCTGTCTTGGCTGGTGGGTATTGCAACACACATCCTTTAGATTGTGGGTGTTCTTTAACTTGTTTTGAGTAGTATACATACTGCATTGACAATGGATTTTATTATGAAATATGTTTAGTTTGGACAGGAGAAAACGATTTCAACATTCGTAAATTTGCCTTGAATATGATCAATATGAAGATGAATCTCTGATAAGGACCCACTATAACAGGATCATATCACGCACTGATCTTCAACATCATATATGTGCCAGTCTCGCATATTGCAGAACCACTTCATCATGATAATGCTATCCACTTCATTCCCGGGTACGCGCTAAAATACCAGTATAATGAAAGAATTAATAAACTTCTTTTTTTCCGCCAGAGTTTACAGCCGCAGATTTGCAATATATCTGATATATCTCGGGGCAAATGCATGGTGCTAGTATTTTCATAAACAAGTGAATTATTAAAAACGGAATAATACATTTACATTTATGAATAAATTATTAAATATATACACACAATCGTGAGCCTTTACGATACAACAGATTTAAATAAAAGCGACAAAGCCCTTTCCATAATCCAGCGAAATCTCTGCTAAGAGCAGAGTCTATTGTTAGAATTCCGATTATATCATGAGCATGTGTTTATGAATCACATAGTGATGATACAAGGTGTTCGCGAAAAGGTGAGGGTATCCTGCGCCACCGGTGTCACCCGTCACAAAAGAAGAGATACTCTGATACCTTTTTCTAAAACTATAATATGTTTTCACAGAATATTAATCAAAGGATTTCCCAAGTATGCTGGGTTATAATAATACCACATTGTTGGGATACTGTATTTGTAATATATATGCAATACCAAATGCTTTAGAATACTCTTTTGGAATGCGTAGTTGAACTTTGGCAAATATGTCAAATAGTTCAGCTATCTTAGAACATTACAAAAGGGGGAGGGGTCACATATGGTGAAAAACGTCACATGCGTGTTCTGAAAAAGATTTTGTAATGTTTGATACGTTGTTGTTTCTATGTCGAACGTGTAGAGTTCTTATGGGTTATTGGCAGTCATTGATATATGCATCACTATGTAGGCTTGCCATCGTCAGGCCGACGTTTTCTCACAAATGCTTTGAATGTGAAAAGGCTTGTAAATTGTGATTCATCTGATTTGTATTAAATACTTAATGTTAATCACATTTTGATCAATCAAACTTAAGCAGTGTCATTGTAGAATGAACATTAACTCCATCACACGTACCGGTCATGTTGGTTTGAAATGTGATGTTCCTCTCCACCCCTGTTCCGTTTATGTTGACACAGGATATTACTATTGTGTAGTTAGTGTAGGATTCTAAGCCTGTAATGTTGTAGTCACACTGCTCATTTCTGTCTTGGTTGACAACAGGAGCACTCTCCGTGTTTGAAGTGTCCGTTTCTTTACAGTTCGGTTTGCCCTGTAACATGAAATATATATCCATGATTGTAATTGTCCTGTTAGTGTTAAGATATTTCGTTTTCGTTCACTTCTGCAGACCATATCTTTTTGTGGAAGACAAATGTGCTTCAATAACCAAAAGACAATCATGTATTTCCATGATGAATGTATCTTTATCATAATGTAACGGTCAGAAAATGAAAAAGAGTAACTGGTGGTTGTACTCACGCCGCCCTCAGGCTGGTCACAGGTCACATTTATAACTCTTTCATGTTTGCCGTCCGATGTAACGTTTATCAGATACCAAAGGATGTTGCCATTTGGAAGTGATGGCCTGGTCCACTGTATACTGATGGAATCTGCCGTTGTACTCAGTACATCCAAACTAGCCACAGGGCCGGACGCTAGGAAAACGAACATAGTAGTTCAGACCGGTCTACATTCATGTTATGCAAATAGATATGACGCAAATAGATATCCGGCATATACCCCCAGTCCTTTCGCACATCCACGTTCTCTACTACAACAGGTGCGTAAACAGTGCAGATTCAATCTGGTAATATTTCATGCGCATTGGGAGAGGGCTAAACTTTACCTGAAGCTGTTAAAGTAGTTAAACGAATAGGTGGTTCCTGTCGGTCACGGCTCTTGACAATATGATGATGAAAGAGGATTAGAAAGCAGGACGTACATGAACATGAGATACATATATATTAGATACTGGAGTCGTATTGTGATATGAAGACATTTGAAATGCATACCGTGGTATGTTTGTATTTAATTTGTTCGGAGATTTTTGGAGGTCTGTTATAATTAAACACACAGAAGTTAAGCATGTTGTGTAGACACCCCTTTGTTGGAATGTCAAAATGTTATTTGGGGCTTCCCTCATAAATTACTCTGACATGTTGACAAAAGCGGTGTTCAGCCGATCTCACTCACTCAATGCGATAATTGAACAAACCTAACCATAAGTCACTTCAAAACTATTACGAGCACAGTGTAATCAAATATTTACATATGACACATCCATGGAACAGTTAAACATACCTCCAGTAAGCGTGGTATAATTCTTTTCAGAATTCATGTTATGCAAATACATATGACGCAAATAGATATCCGGCATATACCCCCAGTCCTTTCGCACATCCTCGTTCTCTACTACAACAGGTGCGTAAACAGTGCAGATTCAATCTGGTAATATTTCATGCGCATTGTGAGAGGGCCAATCTTTACCTGAGGCTGTTAAAATAGTTAAACGAATAGGTGGTTCCTGTCGGTCACGGCTCTTGACAATATGATGATGAAAGGGGATTTGAAAGCAGGACGTACATGAACATGAGATACATATATATTAGATACAGGAGTCGTATGGTGATATGAAGACATTTGAACTGCATACGTATACCATGGTACGTTTGTATTTAATTTGTTCGGAGACTTTTGGAGGTCTGTTATAATTGAACACACAGAAGTTAAGCATGCCGTGTAGACAACTCTTTGTTGGAATGTCAGCATGTTATTTTGGGCTTCCCTCATAAATTACTCTGACATGTTGACAAATCGGTGTTCAGCCGATCTCACTCACTCAATGCGATAATTGAACAAACCTAACCATAAGTTGACCATTCACTTCAAAACTATTACGAGCACAGTGTAATCAAATATTTACATATGACACATCCATGGAACAGTTAAACATACCTCCAGTAAGCGTGGTATAATTCTTTTCAGAAACGGTTCCATTGTATTTGCTATATGCACGGACCTGTAATCAAATCAAGTTCGTCAAGAGTTTGTGGTGAAGGTAAGTTACGGAATAAGTACATCACGTTTCACTCTTACCGTGCCTCACACGAACTGTATTGAAAAGCTTATACTGAAGTTGACATTTGCTACATTCCCAGCAAAAGAATCTTATGCTACAACCTGAAATTGAAGAGGATAATGTAGTGTTCCGCTTACTTCAAATGAATATCGTAAATAACAAGTACCAATCTTACAAGTTGGTATTTACCTTAATATTTAACTACCTTTCTTTGATAAATTTGGACTTTGTTTACAACACAAGTGTATGGAATCATCTGAGATATTTAGTGCTTTGGTATTAAAGGGGAACGGGATGATTTACATACGAGAACATACAATAGTGAGCCTTCTTTGTACACACAGTTTACCCTAACTCACCGAGAACCTGTAGTCTACTTGTGCTGTGATGGGTACAACCCGTGAGTAGTTACAGTTCGACTCAGGTTCAGCTGAAATGTTTAATCCTTGGGGATTTTCTGTCACGTTGTGGTTATGTTCTCGCTGTCAAAATGTAACGGAATAATCATACTCGATATACAATGTATTCAATGCATATGTACTCATCATACATATCCACCCTATTCCTAAATCTTCCTTCCTAACTGTGTATATAAACTGCCGGGCAAACGAAAGTATACACTTAAAAATTAGATTTGACCAAAACATTACAAACGTTATCAAATCGTTACTAGTCTGAAAATAGTCGCCGAAACACTGTAAACTTAAAGTGGAAGACCACCACCATGTTTCTGTGTGTGCTTGTATGCGCGTGCGTGCTTGCGTGCGTGCGTTCGTGCGTGCGTGCGTATATGTATGTGTGGTATATCTATACCTGATCATGATGCACGGCAACGCATTTTCTGTTATCTAGGCAGGTTTGAGCTTGAGTAAACTTAAAGTAGTCATTGGTTATTCGTACACTTTTTTGTAATTAAAGTAATACAACTCTGTTCAAGTATAATGATCACATTTTTATCTTTAATGGGACATACCTGAGCTTCATACGACAGTATGTAGTATTTTATGTCGCCGTGTCTTTCTGTTTCGTTTGGACAGGAGAAGAAGACTTCCACACTCGTAAAATTGTCTTGTATGTGTTCGATGTGAAGATGTTCTACCTTTCCAGGAACTATGAATGAAACATTTCCTTGTCAAGATTTAAGGGCGCATTTAAGAATACTGTCGATAATTGTGTATTGTGTCTTGATTGTCCTTAAACTATCGTTGTCTGAAAACGTAATGAAATTATGTTACAAATACAGTACCGACTTCTTTGGCATACTATTTTGGAACGCATATATTAAACATGGGAATATGGGTCAAATAGGTATAAGCTCTCTTAGAACATTCCGAAAAGGAGTCACAGACAGGTAGTGAAAAACGTATTAGAGAGAATTGATCAATAACAAAAGGATATATGACATCCTATAGTACATAAAGATAAGGGAAGTTCATTCTACCCCGAACATTTAACATCGGCAGCTTGAACTGAACAACAAAGGTTATGGTGATACAACAATCATATTTTGACACAGTATATTTTATAATTGCCTATATCACGCTCTTGCTTCGGCCATTAGATTGCTAAACAGATATGACAACGTCTCTCCTCCAGAGGCAGAGTTAAACCTTGGTTAAAACTGGGAATTGTCATTGTAACGTCACTGCGGAATACACGTGATATCTATATAACAATGGAGTTTTAAACCTACCATGACTGTTTCAACCAATTACGGATGAAAGACACGACTAAACATTAAGAAGGCCCTTCACATATACTACTCAAAAGAAGTTAAAGAACACCCACATTTTCCATAAGACTACAGTAAATCTGTCTTGGCTGGTGGGTATTGCAACACACATCCTTTAGATTGTGGGTGTTCTTTAACTTGTTTTGAGTAGTATATACATACTGCATTGACAATGGATTTTATTATGAAATATGTTTAGTTTGGACAGGAGAAAACGATTTCAACATTCGTAAATTTGCCTTGAATATGATCAATATGAAGATGAATCTCTGATAAGGACCCACTATAACAGGATCATATCACGCACTGATCTTCAACATCATATATGTGCCAGTCTCGCATATTGCAGAACCACTTCATCATGATAATGCTATCCACTTCATTCCCAGGTACGCGCTAAAATACCAGTATAATGAAAGAATTTATAAACTTCTTTTTTTCCGCCAGAGTTTACAGCCGCAGATTTGCAATATATCTGATATATCTCGGGGCAAATGCATGGTGCTAGTATTTTCATAAACAAGTGAATTATTAAAAACGGATAATACATTTACATTTATGAATAAATTATTAAATATATACACACAATCGTGAGCCTTTACGATACAACAGATTTAAATAAAAGCGACAAAACCCTTTCCATAATCCAGCGAAATCTCTGCTAAGAGCAGAGTCTATTGTTAGATTCCGATTATATCATGAGCTTGTGTTTATGAATCACATAGTGATGATACAAGGTGTTCGCGAAAAGGTGAGGGTATCCTGCGCCACCGGTGTCACCCGTCACAAAAGAAGAGATACTCTGATACCTTTTTCTAAAACTATAATATGTTTTCACAGAATATTAATCAAAGGATTTCCCAAGTATGCTGGGTTATAATAATACCACATTGTTGGGATAATGTAATTGTAATATATATGCAATACCAAATGCTTTAGAATACTCTTTTGGAATGCGTAGTTGAACTTTGGCAAATATGTCAAATAGTTCAGCTATCTTAGAACATTACAAAAGGGGGAGGCGTCACATATGGTGAAAAACGTCACATGCGTGTTCTGAAAGAGATTTTGTAATGTTTGATACGTTGTTGTTTCTATGTCGAACGTGTAGAGTTCTTATGGGTTATTGGCAGTCATTGATATATGCATCACTATGTAGGCTTGCCATCGTCAGGCCGACGTTTTCTCACAAATGCTTTGAATGTGAAAAGGCTTGTAAATTGTGATGCATCTGATTTGTATTAGATACTTAATGTTAATCACATTTTGATCAATCAAACTTAAGCAGTGTCATTGTAGAATGAACATTAACTCCATCACACGTACCGGTCATGTTGGTTTGAAATGTGATGTTCCTCTCCACCCCTGTTCCGTTTATGTTGACACACGATATTGCTATTGTGTAGTTAGTGTAGGATTGTAAGGTTTCAATGTTGTAGTAATAGAGCTCATTTCTGTCTTGGTTGACAACAAGAGCACTCTCCGTGTTTGAAGTGTCCGTTTCTTTACAGTTCGGTTTGCCCTGTAACATGAAATATATATCCATGATTGTGATTGTCCTGTTAGTGTGTAGATATTTCGTTTTCGTTCACTTCTGCAGACCATATCTTTTTGTGGAAGACAAATGTGCTTCAATAACCAAAAGACAATCATGTATTTCCATGATGAATGTATCTTTATCATAATGTAACGGTCAGAAAATGAAAAAGAGTAACTGGTGGTTGTACTCACGCCGCCCTCAGGCTGGTCACAGGTCACATTTATAACTCTTTCATGTTTGCCGTCCGATGTAACGTTTATCAGATACCAAAGGATGTTGCCATTTGGAAGTGATGGCCTGGTCCACTGTATAGTGATGGAATCTGCCGTTGTACTCAGTACATCCAAACTAGCCACAGGGCCGGACGCTAGGAAAACGAACATAGTAGTTCAGACCGGTCTACATTCATGTTATGCAAATACATATGACGCAAATAGATATCCGGCATATACCCCCAGTCCTTTCGCACATCCTCGTTCCCTACTACAACAGGTGCGTAAACAGTGCAGATTCAATCTGGTAATATTTCATGCGCATTGTGAGATGGCCAATCTTTACCTGAGGCTGTTAAAATAGTTAAACGAATAGGTGGTTCCTGTCGGTCAAGGCTCTTGACAATATGATGATGAAATGGGATTTGAAAGCAGGACGTACATGAACATGAGATACATATATATTAGATACTGTAGTCGTATTGTGATATGAAGACATTCGAACTGCATACGTATACCATGGTACGTTTGTATTTAATTTGTTCGGAGATTTTTGGAGGTCTGTTATAATTGAACACACAGAAGTTAAGCATGTTGTGTAGACAACTCTTTGTTGGAATGTCAGCATGTTATTTTGGGCTTCCCTCATAAATTACTCTGACGTGTTGACAAATCGGTGTTCAGCCGATCTCACTCACTCAATGCGATAATTGAACAAACCTAACCATAAGTTGACCATTCACTTCAAAACTATTACGAGCACAGTGTAATCAAATATTTACATATGACACATCCATGGAACAGTTAAACATACCTCCAGTAAGCGTGGTATAATTCTTTTCAGAAACGGTTCCATTGTATTTGTTATATGCACGGACCTGTAATCAAATCAAGTTCGTCAAGAGTTTGCGGTGAGGGTAAGTTACGGAATAAGTACATCACGTTTCACTCTTACCGTGCCTCACACGAACTGTATTGAAAAGCTTATACTGAAGTTGACATTTGCTACATTCCCAGCAAAAGAATCTTATGCTACAACCTGAAATTGAAGAGGATAATGTAGTGTTCCGCTTACTTCAAATGAATATCGTAAATAACAAGTACCAATCCTAAAAGTTGGTATTTACCTTAGGCTTTAACTACCTTTCTTTGATAAATTTGGACTTTGTTTACAACACAAGTGTATGGAATCATCTGAGATATTTAGTGCTTTGGTATTAAAGGGGAACGGGATGATTTACATACGAGAACATACAATAGTGAGCCTTCTTTGTACACACAGTTTACCCTAACTCACCGAGAACATGTAGTGTACTTGTGCTGTGATGGGTACAACCCGTGAGTAGTTACAGTTCGACTCAGGTTCAGCTGAAATGTTTAATCCTTGGGGATTTTCTGTCACGTTGTGGTTATGTTCTCGCTGTCAAAATGTAACGGAATAATCATACTCGATATACAATGTATTCAATGCATATGTACTCATCATACATATCCACCCTATTCCTAAATCTTCCTTCCTAACTGTGTATATAAACTGCCGGGCAAACGAAAGTATACACTTAAAAATTAGATTTGACCAAAACATTACAAACGTTATCAAATCGTTACTAGTCTGAAAATAGTCGCCGAAACACTGTAAACTTAAAGTGGAAGACCACCACCATGTTTCTGTGTGTGCTTGTATGCGCGTGCGTGCTTGCGTGCGTGCGTTCGTGCGTGCGTGCGTATATGTATGTGTGGTATATCTATACCTGATCATGATGCACGGCAACGCATTTTCTGTTATCTAGGCAGGTTTGAGCTTGAGTAAACTTAAAGTAGTCATTGGTTATTCGTACACTTTTTTGTAATTAAAGTAATACAACTCTGTTCAAGTATAATGATCACATTTTTATCTTTAATGAGACATACCTGAGCTTCATACGACAGTATGTAGTATTTTATGTCGCCGTGTCTTTCTGTTTCGTTTGGACAGGAGAAGAAGACTTCCACACTCGTAAAATTGTCTTGTATGTGATCGATGTGAAGATGTTCTACCTTTCCAGGAACTATGAATGAAACATTTCCTTGTCAAGATTTAAGGGCGCATTTAAGAATACTGTCGATAATTGTGTATTGTGTCTTGATTGTCCTTAAACTATCGTTGTCTGAAAACGTAATGAAATTATGTTACAAATACAGTACCGACTTCTTTGGCATACTATTTTGGAACGCATATATTAAACATGGGAATATGGGTCAAATAGGTATAAGCTCTCTTAGAACATTCCGAAAAGGAGTCACAGACAGGTAGTGAAAAACGTATTAGAGAGAATTGATCAATAACAAAAGGATATATGACATCCTATAGTACATAAAGATAAGGGAAGTTCATTCTACCCCGAACATTTAACATCGGCAGCTTGAACTGAACAACAAAGGTTATGGTGATACAACAATCATATTTTGACACAGTATATTTTATAATTGCCTATATCACGCTCTTGCTCCGGCCGTTAGATTGCTAAATCGATACGACAACGTCTCTCCTCCAGAGGCAGAATTAAACCTTGGTTAAAACTGGGACTTGTCATTGTAATGTCAGTGCGGAATACACGTGATATCTATATAACAATGGAGTTCTAAACCTGCCACGACTGTTTCAACCCGTTACGGATGAAAGATACGACTAAAAATTAAGTAGGCCCTTCACATACATACTGCATTGACAATGGATTTTATTAAGACATATATTTAGTTTCGACAGGAGAAAACGATTTCAACATTCGTAAATTTGCCTTGAATATGATCAATATGCAGATGAATATCTGATAAGGACCCACTATAACAGGATCATATCACGCACTAATCTTCAACATTATATATGTAGCAGTCTCGCATATTGCAGAACCACTTCATCATGATAATGCTATCCACTTCATCCCCGGCCACGTGCTAAAATACTAGTATAATGAAAGAATTAATAAACTTCTTTTTTCCCGCCAGCAGTATATCTGATATATCTCGGGGCAAATGCATGGTACTAGTATTTTCATAAACAAGTGAATTATTAAAAAAAGAATAATACACTTACATTTATGATTAAATTTGTAAATATATACACACAATCGTGAGCCTTTACGATACAACAGATTTAAATAAAAGCGACAAAACCCTTTCCATTATCCAGCGAAATCTCTGCTAAGAGTCCATTGTTAGATTCCGATTATATCATGAGCATGTGTTTATGAATCAAATAGTGATGATACCAGGTGTTCGCGAAAAGGTGAGCGTATCCTGCGCCACCGGTTTCACCCGTCACAAAAGAAGAGATTCTCTGATACCTTTTTTTTAAAACTTATATATACACAGAATAATAATCAAAAGCTTTCCCAAGTATGCTGGGTCATAATAACACCACGTTGTATTTGAACCGATCACAGATCAGATCATTGATATAAACAAAGAAAGAAGAAACCCTGATGAGATTGGTCACGTGCGAATTATACATTTTTCGTAAGTGTTTCTTACTTCTAAAGTGTTTTACTTTAGCATATTATAGCTGTTAGGTCTTCTGTGCATTTACGATTTGGAACAATGAGAGACGGCAGACAACAAACAACGCGCCATTCAACATGTTCATTTGGATGATTGGTAAGAAGCCTAAGACATCCATTAGCAGTTGCCTATTATGCGAACTATTAAATATTATATTTTCAAAATAAAATCTTGTAGAAGACTTGCTCGAAATATTGTTTATGACAAAAATAAATTGACTTGTTATGGGATAACGTTCGCTTTGGACACACGCTATTACATGTTTGATATTCAGTTAAACTTTACATTATTATGTACGTCAAAGCTCACACAATTATTGTTACAATGTGTTGCCATTGCTTTCTGTATTTATTCATACAGCTTATGCAAGGCAGAAAAGTAAGGACAATCTGCATTATATATTCACGAAGTATTGTGTACTGTGGAAAATCAATTTCTATTACGACTATAAACATATTTGCACAGCCGGACAGAGTTGTCTAGAAATATTTGGGGAGTATTATGAGTTATTATTCATAAGCCGTCGACATTTTCCAAATCCAAACGATATAGAGGACAACCAATGACATATAGTTCATACTGTTTAATTCATCAAAACACTACCAGTTGAAATTGTAGCTCCTGTTTTATTGTGGGTGGACGGGAAATAGTAAAAGCATTTCGCGGCATCACTATTTGATCATGTTTCACACATGTTTATGATATAGTTGGAATTGTTCAGTGAGCTCTTCTTTAAGTAGAGATTTCGTATGATCATGGGAATATTATGTGTGACACATTGTTTAACGCGGAATTGAGCAAACATAAACAGCAGTTGACCTCTGACTTAAAATCAGTATTGATCAGGAAAGGTTGAACATACTTCCAGCAGGTGTACACGTAACACCTTTCTCTCCATCGCTGGATGTTTGTATCTGAAATCAAATGAAAGCTAATGAAATCAAGTCTGCGGTGAATATAAGTAGAGACCTATGCCATATACTGTAACTAAGGCACTCAGGAATAGCCCATGTACAATGAGACCGATCCTAAAACAACATAGGGTCCAGTACGATTACAAGGTTGTAACATAGTGGCTCTGTACTGGTGACACACCAAAAGGGTATAAACAGGCATTTTGTTTGCTATCTGAGGTGCATACATGAAGTACGTATGCTATTCTGTTTCTCAATTTAAATTCTCCCCTTCCTTCTTCGTGTAACCCATGTACAAAGGACAAAGGCTCTCTGGTGATACATGGAAAGATATGCTGGCTAAGTGCATGCGGTGCCATTTGTGAGTGAGGTAGGTATGCTAATAAGTAGTACTGGATAGTCTGCTGCAACAACATCCACATCACAACGATAAACAAAACACAATACACCATTATTGCAATCAGGTAAATTTGTTATACATGTAAACAAACGTGTGAGTGTTTAACGCGTTGGAAATGTATTTCCGTTTTGTCAGACAAGTCCCGGTCATAAAATCTGTAAGGTTTAGATCCAAATATATATATTTGTTTTGTAATTATTGACGTTTGATATGTGACCCAACATATATGACATTTAATTCCACTTGACCTACAGACTGACCAGGTTTAATTGGACGTTGCATGTTTAGTTTTGTCAGTACAGTTTTTGTGTACGTATCAAATACAGTGAAGAATAACATCTCCTCAAAAATACAAGCATTATAAATTTCAAATCGCTCTAACTCGAAAATTGTGTTTTTGGAGTTGGAACAACCTGGTTTTCAGGACACGATATGACCCAACAAACTTGACCTACAGACTGGCTAGGTTTAATTGTTTCATGTTTAGTTTTGTCAGTATAGTTTTCTCTGCTTTTAATTTCCTTACAGGATCAGGAAACAATGTTCCGTGAAATTATCTTTTATTTCGGCCATTTCCTCAACTGTACACCTGTTTCTGTACCTTGAAAAGGTCATTCCATTTCTCTACTACAACATGCGAGCAATTGCTCCTATAAGGAAATATATATTTTAAGTTATTAAATAGAGGCGGTTTGATTGACTGTTGCATCTACTTCACCAGATAGCTGCCTAGATGTGCAACAAACTCGTTTCATCCACTTCAAGCCTGCGCGTTCTGAACGTCTATCGAAAAGCCTCGAATGTCGATTGAAATATATGCAACAAAGCACTTTTCAAAATTTCATAAACGTCCGCATCAGCATCAGTCAATCTGAAATAAACTTCTGATGGTTTGCATTTCTTTCAAATCAAAGTAGATAAGGATACAGATCGTCTTTTTCATTTAGGAGATAAACATACTGTGTTTTCAATGTAGAGTTAGGTTACCTGTAGATTTAACCCCGCTAAATTGAATTTGGAACCGAACGCGCAGTATGTTTATCTCCATTCTACCATGACTAAATAAAACGCGAACTCTTTGGTGTTAGCAAATATACTGACTGAAGCGGCATGGGTTGAACGGAATCACCAAACAAAACATGATGCTGTATATACTCAAGCAGTTTGTTTACATTGAAAGCATATAAGCACGGCAACTTGGTAACCTAACATGAGGTGGGCATCCCTAAAGAAAACAAAGCAAGCTTTGCGAGGCTTTCGTTCTACATCGCGCGTCACCATTATAACGTCATATCGCTCATTGTGACGCAAAAAATATGACGTCACAGTCGTATATAGAAAAGCGCCAAAATTGCCAGCTCTCTGTTGTCTCCAAAACGTAAATACATTCCCTTTGTTGATTTCTGTCGTGTTTTTCTGCACGAAATGTATTGCCACACATCCTTTGAACATTGTAGTAACCGCATCTGTGCATTTTGTAACCTGTAATTGTAGATATAGTTATTTTAATATGCCTCCCGACAATGACAGAAAATAGTACTATTCTATGAATATTAGCTTCCGCGGTGATGCGGCCGTCAAACCAGCTGTTTCAATCAGAGGGGGTTTATTGTGATTTAATAGCCTCTGATTGACCAATCAGAATCGAGTAAATTCCAAATTCATGGTAGAATCTCAAATGAATATTCTCATGATAACGAGATTGATTATCCACCGACTGAAGACCCCACTCCTTGTAACCTCAAACTCAAACTGTAGCTAATATTTCTTTCCCTCGATCTCCCTTCCATCCAAATATATCTCAAGTCACATCATCCGTCTGTGTGTCTTTTCGATCACTTTCTGTTTCTCAAATAAACTTAGTACCTATACATAAAATATTATAAAATATCCCATCGCAGCCTTCAAAATGTCATATGTTGTGATCAGAGCATTCAGGAATGACTCAGGGAACAGTTTTTTTAAAAGGGTTTGTAATAACAAGCGCATATTACATTTAACATGATGCTGACAATGTTGTGATATAGTGATCCCTGAACGACATGAACAAATAAATACCATAAATACATCATTGTACTTGCTTTCTTTGAAGATGATGTTGTCGGTTTCGTTATCACTGTAGGTGGCGTTGATCTTGTTGATGGTGAAGGTGATGATGATATGTGTGGTGAACTTGACGACTGTAAAGTAGTTTCCTGAAGTAAAGCAATTTAGAAACTGATAAGATGAGTGCCATCTACATGTATGATGTAACAAAATACTTAGCTGATCAATGAAGATAGATACCTAACATAGAAACAAACCCGATACACAATTTACGAGTACCATGTGTCTGTTTAAAAATTGATGAGCACAGTCATTAACAGAGATACTCAATGATTGCCATACACTTTGGCAAATATTCGAGTCCAAATTTATAAGTCAGTTCTGTATACAATATACAAAATGAACACATCGTTTGTGTAGCCCCATTTGTCTAAGCTGCTTGTTGGTGAGGTTGTTCATGGGTTCTTTACGCCCTGTGACTGGGGTTTCACAAAGTAAAACGTGGTATCTGTACAGTGTGTATAACGAAACTGGCATCGCCTAAATTGCATCCCTTTGGACAGTCACCCCGTTGTAAACTGACACGCCATGACACATACAGAACCGATCACAACATTGATAAACCCAATTTTCACAAATAACTGCAATGAGCCACTGTCTTAAAACTTGGTAGCAGTAAGGTTAACATTAACATTGAGCGTTTCCCAAAGCATGTTTATTTATGGTGCAGACATTTGAAGATTTTTTGGGTTAATGGTAGGTACTCCAAATTATGCTATGGTATATGGAGAGTATTGACGTGTATATACGCTCATATATAATGGCATATTTTAAATGCCATGAAATGTTATAATATATTGTTGTGTACCAGAAAAAAGGCATTACTGCCCCTGAGGTATCAGATGAGTCCGCTTATTTTATATGCATCTGAAATTTGGGGAAACAATAGCATTGAGAGAAAATAGACCTACTGACTTAAAAAACTTATTACAAATTGCACCACAAACGCCTAATGCTGTAGCGCTGTAGCTTGGAGGGAATGTAGCCGATGTCCAACGTATCCCGAACGAATAAATTCAGCATGCTTGTATATTAATCATGATTTTGAAAGAAGAAACTATAACTATACTTATTATTTGTTAAACTGTTATTTGTTTTTAGGCCTATGTCCTTCATTTGCAAAAGGTATAAACGCCAGAACGCCAGAAAATATCCGGTCTCGATTACATGCCGATTGAATTGGGTGTTAAAAGCAAACTAAATAGTGAACATAATACGGATCACTTAAAATCAGCGATGACATCCGGTTTACGCTAAAAGGGTAAACAGGTTATTTCCGGCCGATTTGCATAAATGACTAAGTGTTTAATTATCACGTATTACTGTGAACAAACCAGACAATCAAATAATCGATGGCACGATAGCGTACATTTTAATTTTGAATTACGTCTGCTGTGAACAAGTGCAGAGCTACTTATAAGTAAACTAAAGCGTTTAAGAAATATGTTCGTTTTCCAACATGGGGGCGGTTTTCTAATTTCTCGGCCCAAACCTTTTTTGAGTAGTTGACTGAATATACAATCTGATTGGTAAATGATACTGAGGTTCTGAAGAAGCTTCAGTACACCAGCATACTTTTCTATCAAGTTCAAGTAAATATAAAACCTCAACGCCAGAGAACTATCAAGTTTCTGTAATCCACCGAAACAGATTCCGTTGGGGTTAACAGGCCGTAAACACAAACCTAAGCGCGTTCTTTAATTATGACGCGTTCAAGTCTAAACATGTTTAATGAATGTGTTCAGTAACTAAACGTGGTTAGACCTGTATCCCTGTACTATACAAAGTATATCAAATATACACGGTACAATAATTGAAGTGAAGTGTGATGAATTACGTTGTGGAATTCAATCTTCAAAGTAAAGTCGATATATGGTGCATGCCCGTTGAGCATCTTGTTGTTGTTGTCTGATGCAAAAATGATTTCAACGCAATATTGATTCTGCGTGGAAGCAATCTTCCCCAACCTTCCTCTACCCACTCTAATCTTAACCCCACCCGTTTGTCGATATCGTTCCTTAAAGTCGGGATACCATCTTTTCCAAAGTGTCTGGCAACTACATTCTGTGTCTGGCAACTACATTCTTGGTCAGCTTCAACCATGCCAAATGGAGGCATTTTCCTTCGCTGCAACCCATCAATGAACCATGTGGTTGTAACGGTGTTTGGCTCATTCAAGTAACCAGGATGTGTCACCAACATGTTTACTTGTGTCAGTATGTTTACTATCCGCGTTCAGTGACTCGTGCAACGATGATGGTCATTTCATTCTTAAAGCTGAAATGACGATGTTCCCTTAAATACCACAAAATGTCCATAACATTTACTGAACGGAAAGCGAGACACCACCTTTTGTCCCTTTCATTCTGGTTGCGTCTAGGGTATCTAACAAAGCATTGTGCATAATAATGATAATGGCCTGCATAATCGATGTTAATATAAATTTTGGCGGGAGCCACGAACACAACAGCACGTCACATCTGTCGGAAAATCTACATTCAGCTTACGGTTAAAAGGTGAGGTGAAAACGGGTTAAACATCGTGTCCAAGATCATTGCACTTATTGTATAATGTTTCTTCCAGAAAGGGAGGTAACTAATAGGCTTCCACAATGAGTGTTTCTTCACCATGTTTAATAACTCAAGGTCGAATCCTCAGCTATTCCCTCTTAGTAAAATATTATACAGATCTACAAATATGTTAACTCGTGAGATTCCTCTAAATAATCTGAATATTATAAAGTTGTGAAGTAGACTCAACTGTGATGTAAATATTTGTATTCATAATGTTTGTTAATCATTTATAATTTTTTAATTTGAAGTTTACACGATATACGGCTTTTCCATTGGACGAGAGGTCGGTCACATGACCGCTAAATTGACGTTCATAAGTGTATGAACGACACAATTTGACGTTCATACGTTTTTACGAGACTGTGTTCTTTAAATGACGTAAACACTGACGGACTACTTCCACATTCCTGGGGAAACCCCTGGGAATTCCCTAACACGAAAACATGCATAAGCGTTCTTTCTGATCATTTAGAACCTTTATTCTTGGTCTCAGTGTTTCAGTATACATTGAGAAATGCCAGAGAGCGTGACTGCATGATTTTTCACGAATATCCTCGCTACGGCCAATCCTAATGAACAAACGAAGAAATGCACATCTAAACTATCGTAGTATCGACTCGATCCGTGCCTAGGCTGACATTGGCCGTCTCCAGCAATCTATGAATTTACCTTTGTGTCTGTTTGACGCATCTTTATTCACCTTTCAATGATCGACCAGTTGATCAATGATGACTAACACATGTAACCGCCCGAGGTTCATTAACAACTTCGGAAATCTCTCCCGTCACGTTTATCGTGTCGGCCATTTTGACGTCTTGTACTTGATGTAAATGTATACTGAGTCAAATTAAAAACTTCAGATTTTTAAAAGTAATCCCATATATGATATACAACGGACAAATGTATCAGAGAAGGAAATTTTTAATCATTAATGTCCAAAGAAGGATTTTAATTAACTGTGGTAACCATAATTTGTTCCAAGTACCTACGGTATTCGGTAATAACATCAACAGTTTAAATCATCAGTCCCAAGCACGAGAATCTGATGGCACACAAGTTCAGTAGCGTGTATGGCCACCATGTGCGTTGACAACTGCCACACAACGCCTCCGCATGGACCTTGTGATGCTTGTGGACCCATGATTGGGAAGACGACGCCATTGTTGCTGCAAAATGGTGCCAAGATCTTGCAAATTCTGTGGTTGGTTCTGGAGAGTGCGCAGACTTGTGCCAATAGCATCCCAGACGTGTTCGATGGGATTGAGGTCGGGAGATATTGACGGCCAGTCCATGACGATGACTCTCGCATTCTGAAGGAAATTCCTTGTCAAAATTGCTGTGTGGGGTCTTGCATTGTCGTGTTGAAAGATCAAACCGGGTCCATGTGCTGCCATAAAAGGCAGAAGTTCTGGTACCAGTACCTGGTCGCGGTAAGCAGCAGCGTTGAGGTTGCCACGGATGACAAGAAGCCTGGAACGTGCATTGCCACAGAAAGCACTCCACACAATGACACTTCCGCCTCGAAATCTGTCAACTTCCTGTACACAACACTGGGCGTAACGTTCATGACGGCGCTTCCGAACCCTCGCTCTACCATCAGCAAATCGAAGATTAAATCGGGATTCGTCACTGAAGACGACTTGATTCCAATTCCTCTGAGTCCATCGTAAGTGTCGCTGTGCCCACAATTGACGTTGACGTTGCACATTTGAAAGGCGTGGCATGACAAATGGCCGTAAAGACTTTTGTTTTCTTGTGTTTTTCTTTTTTTGTTAATGACTGCTAAAAAGTATGACTGAAAACACGTGCGGTATTATGGCCACGTGACACGTCAAAAAACACTTTTGCCACTATAGTGCTGTGCACATGATTTTGATCAATTCACCTTCACAAAAACGGGTGTTATCTGAAGACAATACGTCGCCATTACTGTTTAAATACACAATTAGGGCCCACAATGATAACTGGTCAAAATGTTAAAATTTTAGGATTGTGAAGTTTTTAATTTGGTTCAGTATATTACGACGCGCTGTCATTGTGACTGACTTACTGAGATAGTTCTTTACAGACCTTTCTCATCTAACGAGGATATGATTTGAACACATGCGCTGCGTAAGATGTTCTGAAGAGCAAGTTGTGCATCCACACGCCCATGTCACCTCTCTTTTTGAGGAACTATTTTACTCCGTGATATAGCTGGTTGTTTTATGGCTGTCAGTACATGAAGTCACACGTACTAAATAAAATTGTGTGGGCTACATCCTTTGAGGTAAGAAATTGTGATAAGAAAATTATAAGAATTGACTTTCACTTTGTGTGAGTTCATTTGAGAATGAACCTTCATAGAGTGAGGGCCAAACATTGTAGTTTGGCCCTCACTCTATGAAGGTTCATACTCCAATCAACTCACACAAAGTGAAGGTCAGTTCTTAAGTATAATGCCCGCGATTGGGATAAACATTTGGCTGAAGTACCATTTGATTATATATATACATATTATTTATATATTAATTGTCTATGTAATTAAAACAGCCAATATAATATTAACTAAAGAATATAATTTTAACATTTGCATTATTTTTCATAGTTGAAAACGTTTCAATATTGAATGTGATTTCTCAGAAATGTATGATCTGAACAATTGTAAAACCTACTTTCAAAATACATGTATATTATACATTCTGTCAATATTTAATGTTATAGTAAATGATATTAGTTTTGTTGTAAACATGTTTAGATGTGTATATATTTGTGTGTATGTGGTGTTCAGACTGCGAGATGATGTCTCATGTCATGTGTGTGTACACTAAACGTGTTTAAATGGAAAACAGCAAATGTGCATTCCTTTTGAGATTTAAACACATTCCTAAATACGTTAAGAGCTAAACATGTCTTGCATGTCAACAGTCTAAAGCATGTTTTACAGGGGTTCGCAGTGTCTCTGCAAAATCATCGCAACAGCATTGATAAAGCAGAAATATCCTGGCGAGTCACCCCAGAAAATAGCATGAAGCAAAATTTATGATGAGCAGTGTACATGTATGGGAATGCCATTTGTTAAGTATATATAACACATACATAAACTATTTTCGCGTTATGAACCGTACGGATGGTGGACTTTGATAAAGCATAAACTATTAAGTTCAGAATGTATCTGCACAAATGTACACGATGGTTTAACTAAAGACACTATTATCGAATGTAATCTCTTGTGAGGACTGAGATGGCCCAATCGTTTGGGGTCACAATTCGCTGTCTAGTATTGCGTCCCGTAACTCTGCAAGAAAACTATCAAAAACGGCCTGACTAACATTCTTTGGTTGTCAGGATTTGACCACATTTGAAGACATACTGCATAACTTTGGACGTTTCTTCAACGTCATCATACTTCTGAAATACTGCTAGATGTAACGTTATACCATTATCACTCACTCACTCACTCGACCTCCTCCGTTGTCTAGTGGACAGAGCGTCTGCCCGGAAAGCGGAAGTTCGGTAGTTCGATCCCCGGCTGTGTCATACCAAAATACCAAAGTATGGTAAAAGATTATACTTGCAGTTACCACCCTTGGCAGTAAGGGGATAATTAAAACAAGGACTGGTCGGCTCGGAGTATGCTGAGGCTGAGTGGGACATGGTATCAGTGGGTTAGCACTATTAAACAGGCATTCGTAAGGCTAGAACAAGTAGCAACATACACAGGTGCATGCACGTCACTATATGCGTGCCATAATCTTGAACCATTCATACGTCTAGTTTATTGGGGTGTAAAGGGTATACCATATCTGTTGTCAAACTTGCATCTGTCACAAAAACCCAAATTGCTTATACAATAAACAACAGAGGTGTTGCAATTTTTCGGGAGGATTGTTGGCTGGATATATGTCCGATAGTCATATGATCTTTGACCTTCCTATTGATGTTTGTTTGTTTGTTGTTTGACGTCGCACTCAAGAATATTCAAGCTTTATGACGGCAGTCTGTAAATGATCGAGTCTCATTCAGACAATCCAGTGACTGATATCATGAACATTGACCCACGCAAGTAAACAAACTTCATAGTGAATGATTCATGTTTAACACAAGAGTCTTAGAAATAGCAATACAACACGAGCAGCAAAAGTTATGTACATCCAACCTTTTGTTCCCATCATGAGGACAGATTTGACTCGTTGTCAAACTTGATTGTTTGTCAATTCAGATTTCAGAACATTAGTTGTAATCCATGATGATATTTGCACATTATGGAACATAATATGGGATTTATATTCAAACCAGCAAACTGAGCAGATGTGATTTGTTACCAACTGTCAGAGACAATTGAAGACACCGAGGAAAAGATCACGCACCACGTTGATTGGTTTAAAACACTGAAAGTGGGACAACGAGATAACGTGTATAACACCTACCGTACAGGCCAACAAGAGGAGCAGGAGACAACAAAACCTTGATCCCAGATTCATTTTGGATACGATGGCATGTACATCCGATGAGCGGTGCTAGCTGCTTACATGAAGCATATAAGAATCAGTGGACGGTTGTTGCAAACTACTTCCTCATTGTGAAGTTGACAAGATATTAAAGCCCAGTGACGTCCCTAGCTGACAGAAGCTTCCGATAAGCTCGATAATTTAGATAACACACACAGACACTGCACAGATGACATGCACTGAACATTGGAGGTCAAAAGCATGTTATCAACTCTATCAACTTTACTTCACCAACAATTGTACGTTATTTTAAGTGAATACCAAATTTAGCATATCATACGACAGTCCACTTTTTGTTCATTACATGCGAATTTGACAGTAAGGTCCAAACCTCATATCATTGATGCAAACTGTTTATTTACTATGATTCAGTGACTCAGATGTCGCAAGAAAGTCGCATTTGCAAATTGTGTCAATGACATTATGATATTTCATACTTGACAAGTTATCGTTAATTGAATGCCTCTACAATATTAAGGTAAAATCAATTCAATTGTTATCAGACCATTCACATCTTTAGCTATTAGAAGGTTCCTGCATTAAGTTGGTATATGTGTATGTCATGTTTGTAACAAAGGTGAAACCACGGTAATATACGCGTATAAGCGTAATATAAGCGTTTTACCAAATGTGTTCACGTGGATAGAGCGTATGCCCGAACAGCAGAAGGTCGGTGATTCGATACCCTAGCTGCGTCAAACCAAACACGTGACATGGCAGTACTTATTGTTACCCTGCCTGACGTTCCGCATTAAAGGGGTAAAAACCGTCATTAGCCCGGGCGAGTACAAACAGCAACACACACACACACACACAGACACACACACACTGTTATATAGCAGTGTAACGATGATTGTAAGTGTGTTGCATTGTTTCTGTTGAGATTCGGTAGCTCTCATTGAATGGTGTTTGGACAGTGTTTTGTCGTCTGGAATGTAGTACTATTTAATGTAAGCGGTCGTCAGGAAGTTACTATATTTAGATCTTCGTGTGGTGTGTACACTTCCGGACCGGTATACCACGGACGGTGATAGTGCGTTATAGAAACATGTGGAATGTTCTCGTACCGCTAGACTGTTGAGGGCACTGTGTTGACATTTCCAGTAGCTAGTAAGGCTGTATATATCGTGGGACAAGCGCTGTTTACGCATCTCTCACTCTTTTCATCACATCAAGACCAGTTTTCGTGTGTGGATAACTCCTCACCCCTGAATCCCCGCCAAGACCCGTGTCGGAAGCTTGACCACTGTTGCCGCTGGGTGAATACATATCATTATCACTGACTTGTGGAATCCCCACTGTATGTTTGTATTTGATACTGACAACTGCCATCATATTATGTATTGCCAATGAATATTGTACCACTACTCTATTGTGACCTGGCATTGTAATTGTTGGATAGGAATTTGTAATGACTTTGCAACCTAGCGAATTTTTTTAATGCATTTGATGATTGTATGCCATGTGTTGGTTGTTTGTTGGTTTCACACTAAGTTCTGTTATGTACAGATTTCTGGGTTAGCATACACATACCCCCACCCCTCACAGAGAGAGAGATAGAGAACACACACATGCATGCATGCACGACGCTTTAAGAGTGCAATAATATTGAGCGCGACGTTAAACTCCATTTCACCTCACCCATTGACTCAAGCACTCATACCTATAGAGCATAGAGAACATACTTTATTTATTGTCAAACTCGCATATGTTACTCGACAAACCTAAAGGGCTTATACAGTTAACAACAGAGCCTTTGACATGTTTCGGAAGGGTTACTGGTTGGATACTTGTCAGACACTCATATGATCTTTGACGTTCCTAACATGTTTTTTTCTGTATCAAACCTTTAATGAATACAAACTGATTACAGACTTCATCGTGAGTGAGTAATTGTTGTTGACCACATTACATTTAGAGCAATGCAATACAAACAGGAAGTGTTATGTACATGTAACCTTTTGTTCCCTTCATAAGGACAGATTTGACTCGTTGTCAAACTTGATTGTTTGTCAATACAGTTTTCCGAACATTAGTTGTCATCCATGATGATATTTGCACATTATGGAACATAGTATGGGATTTATATTCAAACCAGCAAACTGAGCAGATGTCAGCGAGAATTGTAGATACGTATTGTAGAATTGAAGATTACGTACCACGTTGATTGGTTTGAAACACTGAAAGCGGGACATGGAGATAACTTGTATAACACCTACCGTACAGGCCAACAAGAGGAGCAGGAGGCAACAGAACCTTGATCCCAGATTCATTTTGGATACGATGGCATGTACATTCGATGAGAGGTGCTAGCTGCTTACATGATCACACACTGCTGCATATAAGAATCAGTAGGCGTTTGTAGCGATATACTTCCTCATTGTGAAGTTGACAAGATATTACAGCCCAGTGACGTCCCAAGCTGTCAAAAGTTTAAGATAAGCTCGATAACTTAGATAGCAAACACAAACACTGCACAAGTGACATGCACTGAACATTGGAGGTTAAAATGTTATCAGTTCCACCAACTTCAATTCACCAACAATTGTACATAATTTTATTCTTCAGGAAAATAACGAATTTAGCATTAAAAGCAAAAGTTTACTTTTAGTTCGTTACATGCGGATTTGAAAGTAAGATACAAAATCTTAACTCTTTTGTGCTCAACTGTACCCTAATAGTTCATTTACCGTGATTTTAGGGTGACTCATATGTCGCAATAATGTCGCATTGCAATTTGTCTTAAGGAAATGATAATATTACATGCATGACAAATTGTTGTTATGTATGCCTCTACAATATCAAGGTATAATCAATTCAGATGTAATTACCAGACCATTCAATTCTTTATATGTTAGGACGTCCCCGCATTGAGTTGGTATATACGTATGTCATGTTTGTAAAATGGTGAAACCACGGTAATATACGCGTCTTCCCAAATGTATTCACGTGTATAGAGCGTATGCCGAAACAGCAGAAGGCCAGTTCAATACCCTCACTGCGTCAAAACCAAACACGTTACATAGTACTTGTTGTTACCCTACTGGCTCGGAATCAGTGTATTAAGTCTTCGTGAAGTGTCGATATTAAACTTCGGTCTATTTTCGCAGTGGACCGGCACTGTAAAGTTGTCTTCAGTCGGGACCAGAGCAGGCAGCCACACATACTCGTCCATGCGCGTTGCAACACTAAAAGCCGTTCTCACCCCACGTGATATTCAGGTATTAAGTCCCCAACATGTGAAGCACACCTCAATTTTGACAGGACGAGTTACTCGTACTCTTGCATGATGAGCGATATTACCATGAAATGTATTTGATGTGAGGTGATGTAGATTGAACTCAACAAGAAGTGGATACATGGGCAAATCATATTCGACAAACTGAACTATCAACGTGCATATTCCCCGTGGGTTACTTGCGTGTCGAAAATGTCAACCATGTAGACGGATTAAACATTATTTTATTGTATGAATTACCCATGGTAAAAACGCAGAACATGACTCTTTGTTGATGATAAATGCAATATACTGTGGATGACATTCTGATCCCCGCCTTGGAGGCAAAGCGAGTTACCTTTATATTTTTCTCAATAGAATTGCGCACGGTCGCGTCAATAGATGCTGCAAACAACTTCCTCGTTGTGAAGTTGACAAGATATTACACCAAGACATATTATCATATTACCCCATGTATGTTCGTCGGGGACCGTCATGGTCCCCATTTTGGTCAGGAAGTGGTTACGTTTTTTTCCCAAATTTATCATGATGTGCAGATCCCATTTGATTTCTTGGTAGAATAGATATCATGCTCTCTGTCACACGTGATTAAGTGGCAACACATTTGGATCAGGTGTTCAGGCTTTTTGACTTGGTTGATTGCATGTCAGTGTACATCATGACATTTGTCGTTGTATCAATCACTGGTTTGTGTGACCTGGATTCTATTATTTACATGCCGCTGTGAGATATAAAAACTATCACTCGTTATATGCTTGTCCTACGTATGTGTGACTGTTTGAGAATGGAAAAACAACCCTTTCGCTGCCTTCTTCGTAGACCGGATGGAAACCAAGAGGTTGAAACTGAGGTGCTGCTTGAGTTGTCACCAACTTCTGTGTTGTATTCTCCTGCTTAGTGTGGCAGTGTAGGTCGTTGGTACCCTAGAATGGGCATACCACTCTACTATTCATGAGAATGAAAGCAACAAAGCCATTTCAATGATTAAAAGAAATTTCTGCTGAAAGCAGAGAGAGTCACATTGCACGATTCTGACTATATCATAAGCATGCGTTATAAATCACTATCAAATAGAGATGATGCCAAGTGTTGACGACTTGGTGCTGAAAACATAATTAGGTGAATCAGGAACTGAAGACCACAGGTTTCTGTGCAACCGAAGGGACGCAACTGTGCACAGCGAATTGCAGGGCCTTAGAAGACTAAGCCATCCTTGAACCCAGAGCTGTGAGAGTCAAGCGGGGTTAGAAATAGCATCATGTGACCTCAGATAAATAAATTCCATTTTAATTTATTCTAATTACAACCATAAGCTTATGATAAGCTTCCAAGCGCACAAGGGCGAAAATATTAAAACGTAATAGGATACTGAACTTAATGAACGGGTGGTTACTCAGACGAAATCGGCATTTTGTCGGTATTTATGTTCAGTTTTGTCAGTTTATTTCTGGATAAAAGCGACACAAAAGCTATCTTCTATCTACCAATAGCAAAGTATATTGTGCGATTGCGGGTACGTCATGATTATGTGTGTATGACTCACTATCAAATTGTACATTTCACAACTGGTATTTGGAGAAATTCCGATTATTATTTGCTTCCTTATCGTTGCTCCTTATGTATAAATACCAAACTGGATCAAACGATCAATAACACACAAGCAATGTTAACTTCTCCTTCTGTTAATTATTATCTGTACATTTTATCAAGAGAGAACCCGTGAACATTCGACTCAGAAGTGGTCTTCAGCAACCCATGTAAGAGGCGGCAAAAGGGATCTTTGTTCATACATGTCATTTTATCCCAATTGCGTAGGTTGATGCTCTTGATGTCAATCTCTGGATAGTCTGATCCAGACTCGGTCATTTACAGGCTGTCGCAAGTCATATAGCTGGAATAGTGCCGCGTTCGGTGTTAAACAATAAACAAACAAACCCCGATGAAGAATATTGAGTGAGTGAGTGACTTTTTTGCTTTAAGCAATATTCCAGCAATATCGCGGGGTGGGGTGAGGGTTGGGGGACACCAGAAATGGGCTTCAGACATTGTAAGCATGTGAGGAATCGAACCCGGATCTTCGGCGTGACCAGCGAACGCTTTTACCATTAGGCCTCCAAAATTGTGTCAAAAGGCCCATAGAAATATTGAGAACATTATGACGTTATAAGAGGTACGGTATAAAGAGGGATTCAATGTTCGTGTGTTTAAATAAACAATAATGTATTTAACAAAATCAGCCCCTAAGTATTTTGGAAACAAAAAGGTAGCATATTGTAACACTTTTTTATTTTCAGGATAATATTCAGGATATTTTCCGGATGTAGTGTCCGGATCCATATGTGCATAAATTATTGCAGCATTTGACAATGAGTAGGTTTGTATGAGCTTTTGTAAAGTTGAACTGATGGTCTCCAGAGTAAAGAGCAAAGTGTTTTACCAATTTGATGAAAGCAATTTGTACCTCAAATCATAAAATGTAGCTGCATTGTTATTTGAAGCGAGTACATGCCAACTTTATATTCACAATCGTGCCTGCATAGTGTCGTACAAATGCATGTTTTGGTCATCTACTTGATTAGTCAACGATTCATACGTCTCTTGTTTTCTGATATCTACATTCTCATAACATGTAGTCGCTAAGGCATTAGGGTTGTCGCTGGCAGATCCACATCCTACTTCATCGTAAGGAGTGTCTTCTCTCTGCCCTGTACCGTCTTCACCTCGAATGGCCATCTCTAATGCATTGCCTTCTCCCCGTGACCTCAGTGTCTTGGCTGGTTGAACAACCTTACTGCAAGTTCAGATACAACAGAAGTGAAGGACGAAAGGGACATGAAAGCTGGCTTATATTTTATAAAAGAAGATTCCAAATCTCGCATATGCATTTACTGTTCTTAGAATGTTGTTACATATGTTCAGTACTGCCACATAACTGTGAACTACCATTTACATGCACCATTTGATATTTAATCACGTAAGACGCGATTTAGGATGGGGAAAGTACATAGAGAACTGTATATTCTAAGCAGGGCACAATACTCACAAATATAAGACAAGGATTATGATGACACAAAGCAGGATAGCGGTGCTCACTCCAAAGGCGATGATCCATGGTGTGACATCTTTGTCAGCCCCATGGCTAAGATCTGTACAAAAGTGAATCAGTCTAAACTACTTTTGTCAAAACGTACAGTTCGGCAATGTACTACACTTTATTCATCAAAACAAGTGCTTGTACTCGTATGTAGTTGTATCTCATTATATGTATGTATGCATGATTACCTTTCGTTTTGAAGTGACCGAACATATCAGTCGATGAACATCCTGTTTGTGTACAAGCCACGCCTATAACCCTGGAATATGAGCGATGCTGACCTTGAGCCATCACAAGTGTTGTTGAACTTTGCCCATGTCGATATACAAATTAACTTTCCCGAGAGTGAAGATATCAGTCTATCATCTCGTGGCAGAAATGTATTTCACTAATAAATTTGCCAATGCCACTGCCAATTATATAATAATCAGTTTTATCGACGGGTTTAAAAAACAGTTTTTACTGAATAAACATACGTACCACAAGTTTAACTCAAGAAAGGTATATGTATCATTCACAAGATATCCACATTATACCATAGGTCAAATATTCCTATCAGGTTATAAACATCTAATAATGACTTTTATTGTATGAACATTAATTGCTGCAAAGAGTTTTACTGTCTCGATAATCGTGTTAAGTTTTCACTCTTAAGAAGCTCCGCTTCAAAAATATCTATTTTACATGTATACGGTTGCTGGTTCCAGAGGTCCATTGCAGAATATGTAGGGCTCCTTTTCACAATTACTTTCTTCTCCGACCACATAAGAATACAGGTCCTCGTTGATTGTGCTGCCTGAAACAAATTTGAAGAACTTGTTGAGTGTAATATCTATCCCATTTGCTATTATAACAAATATTTATAAATAATTATATTTCTGATTTCTGTGAAGATACTTCAGATGTTATCATTGACTCAATGTTCATGCATTAAAGAGAGAATCAAAATCATGCATTGAGTTTGTGTTTCTCATATATTTGGAACCATATGGACAAAAACACATTTGAACAATGGCTTTTGTTGCAAATCCTCAAATTAAATGCAAATATATCCATATTCACGAATAAAAGAACATGTTATAACTAATAATGATAAGGTGAGAAAGGGTTTCCGTGTTATACCCTGTTTAACGCCCCTCCTGTGTCTGTTGTGTGCCAGGTTATGCGGTGACGGTCAGTAGGATCCCTTGAAGCCATTTTCTCGCCATTTATACCAGTTATTCCATGTGTTCCAGGCCCTTAAATCGTCTGGGCGTTTAGGTTCATCTGTGGATGTCGTTGAGACAAAATACAGCACAGGCTTGAAAAGTGTGTGTGTGTGTGTGTGTGTGTGTGTGTGTGTGTGTGTGTGTGTGTGTGTGTGTGTGTGTGTGTGTGTGTGTGTGTGTGTGTGTGTGTGTGTGTGTGTGTGTGTGTGTGTGTGTGTGTGTGTGTGTGTGTGTGTGTGTGTGTGTGTGTGTGTGTGATTACCAGCTTTATAGGATAACAGATTTTCGGTTTTTGATATTTTCTTCATCTGTATGACTCGAAGAGAATAATTATTTCAAGGATCAGTCATTGTACATGTACCTTGCGATCATTATGCTGTGAAGTGGCATCACTGTTAATCTCAGTTATAAGATATATTAAACTGATTCATCTGTCTCACCGCAGAGTATGTAATAACTAGAATCACATTGACATGTGTAAGTTTGTCAGTGACGCACAACAATACATAGAACGTTCGAATTCCATTTTCAAGAAAGCATAGAAACACAAAATAATGTAGAATACCACTACAAAAGCCAGTACATAACAAAATGTGCCTCAGGCATAGAGTAAATACTCCGCATCTTCATGTTTCTATATTTGTTGATTGTCAGTTCGGTGTATGTCAAGAAATATGCATAATGTCAATAACATCCAGATTATCAGTTTTAATTAGTTCCAAAACGATTCAGTTGATGCCTATCCTACCTTGATTCTTCAATACCAGAATTCCTGCAGCAATGATTTCTCCGTTTGAAGTGTCCGTGAGGAGATGTACATTAAATGTTACAGTAACAGACGTGTCAGTAGAGCTTGTCAGGGCGTTTGTACTGACGAATATGTCAGAGGCAGGCTTCAGAGAAGGTCCTGCAACAGGGGTAGTGAAATAAAAAATATGCAATGAAGTTTATTGTACATAAGCCTTAGGTCCAAATACGTTGAATGCAAGTTGAAACGTAGTGTTAAATACATACCAGCGCGCATTATTGGTTATAGTTTCCGGTTTCATGCCTAAACAATATAGCTATGGAATTGATTTCGTAGGGCAAAGGTAACTTCGCTTACATAAACGTATTAACACGACAATACTTTATCTAACGACGTGACAGATGGGAGACTCTGCAAATAACTGCGTACTTCCAAACTAACTGCTGGTGAAAGTGTGTAAGTCACAATATGGTATGAGCGCTAGCTATATCAAATGCTGTGTACTTACTGCTGGCAACACTGTTGTACACATGTGACAACCTCTGACTGCCTTGATATGCTGCATTTGCGAAAACCTCATCAACAAAAGTTAGAATGGTAACAAACATCACGATGTGCATGTTCGGGATATCAGAGTAAACACCCAAAAAATTAGTGAAACTGCATTCGTTTGACGACAGAATAGAATAGAATATGTGTTACTTAAAGCAGGATGCATTTTTCTTCACCACTTTTAAGGATAAAACATTAAACAAATCATTAAGAAGAGACATGTACATGTATATAACGAACTGATCGTGGCAAATAAAAGGATTTTCATACACAGGCTACGCTGGGCCAGTAAAAAGAATTGAAAGTAGCGTATACAGACGTACAAGCGCTCGTTACTTTCTTACTTTGAATGTGTAGTTGTGTTCTGGCCGTACTGGTAATATGGCTGTATGAGTATTATCACACGGATCCTCAGGTTCATAGTGGCCATACACCATAGGTACCGCTCCCTAGACATCAGTGTTACTTTGTTATTGCAGATATAATTACTGATAAGTTGTTAGTTGTTAGTTTATACATTCACGGTGTCGTGTACATTTACACATTTGTAATTAAGTGTTTCTGTATTACAATATGCATGAACATTTAGCTTTTAGGGTGAATGTCTACCGATCACGGTAATTACCTCAAAATTAGATTCATTCTCGTTAATTGTAAATCTTAACAAATTAGAATGATGTATGCGAATAATTTATGTTCTTAGCAGACAGATCTGAATAAATCGATAAATATACTTATTTCCATATCTTGCTTGGAACCACCCCTGGGCAATTATCAAACTCAGTTATTGCCATATGAACTATGTGACTGACGATAAGTCAGAGTCTTTTACATGATTCAGTTGTGATGTTTTTTGTCGTTGTTTTTTTGGAGTTTGGTGAACACAATGGTACCGTACCGGACCCGAATACTGTATGGTGTAATTTTTTATAAATCCGTTCCTTTCTCTTTCCTTGGGACAGTCCCAGGTGAGGTTTACAGCCGTAAAGTTGTCAGGAATTGATGAAACGTTCAAATTCTGTACTTCACCAGGCTCTGTTATAATGTTATGAAATGATAAAATGCATTATGTACACATTAATAGGCATTAAGAACCATATACACGGATATAACAAGGAATACCTAAACATTTTTGCAAGACGTTGAACAAAGAACTATATGATGATCTTAAAAAACGATAATGACAATATATTGCATTAATATTGGTAAAACAATACATACTGGATTCCTGAGTGAGAATGTAACTTCCTGAGACAACAGGAAGGGAATCTCCTTTGGCTGTTCGGGCTGTAATGTTGAACATGTACCTCCATGAACTCAACAGACCCTCGATGGTTCTTTCAGATGAATCGTAACCTGAAGGGCAGAACACCCGAATTGGTGTGAAAGGAAGACCTCTCCTTATTATTTTGTGTTAATGAAAACTGTAACTGATATTCACAGCAGGTAGAAACCATACGAAGCATTTTTTTGTTACAAAGAGAACACAACCTGAACACATGTGTAGGCAATCCCGCCCGGTATTTGGCGTGACGATCTAATGCTTTAAACACTAGGCAATCCTAACGCCCATGTTAATAAATGCCCAAATAATTCAATCGTGCATTGATGATTGCCTACAAATACCGCTTTCACTGTAATTAATTGTATAAACTGTATAAAATAATGCAACTAAAAACTATTATGTAAATGCGTCTTTTCGAAAATACATATAATGATGGTTTTCTTGGGTTGTTATTTTCAGCATGAGGCGATATATATAACCAGCACTGATTTCCTTATAATGACATTACAATTAATAATAATAATTAAACGAATAACAAAGTTACAAGGACTCATGATAAAGAGAGATACACATAAATACACATACACGTTGCTAATAATATAAATCATTTATATAAGTCAATATAACATTATCGTCATTTATATTCTGGTTATTTGTTGGGTCGTTGTCACTTTAAATATACACGTACCGTTTACAGTTACGTTTTCCATGTTCTCGAACGTTGAAGATTGTCTTCCCGTAGCCTGCTGTACGAGGATGGTGTAATTCATAGGTCCGGACTTGTGAACTGGGGGTGTCCAGGTAACCTCCACTGCTGATGCGTTCAACACAGTGACAAAGAGATTTCCTGGAATCGCTGGGACTAGAAGTCAAGGAAAGCACCATTAATTAAATTCGACCACACATTGAATTTATATTTCTTGTCATGTAAATGGATATAATTCATATTTTATTTTTCCCTGTTAATTCTGATAAATTAAAAATGGCTTTATCTTTCATCTCGTTGCAATTGGTAAAAATGAGTCGACATTACACAATGTGACTGGATTTGATGCCATATGCAATGTGTTTACCATCAGTGTCTGTCCGTATAGCAAGGAAAACGTTATTCCCGATGCTGAAGTTATTGACAGCAGCCACAGTGATGGTGTAGTTAGTAAAAGACAAAAGGGAGGTGACGTTGTAGTTGGTGAGAGACGTTTCCGGTCTTTGTCCACTGGCATGTCGGGAAATACGACACATTTCATCCCCTACCTGAACAAACCAATAGGATGTATGATTCGGTATCGAAGAAAAAAATCATGATAGTCAGGAAATCGTGAAAATATGGACTGCAAATCAATGGACACATTATGGTAATATTGATACAACTGTTAGCATATTTCAGGTGTACATTTGTATTTTGCATCCAATAGAGATATACCTATACACTCTCCACTTTCGATTTTTGAGAAACATGTGACCTTTAAATGTTAGCATGAAATTCGGGCAATTATTCTTCATTCTAGATACGTTGAGATGGCGGATTTACGCTTTCATTATCAATATTACATTAATGCCCTTGATATCGATATCATAATACAAATACGTGTGGTACATCAATGATGGGCATCACACACATATATGCCATGTTGGAAAATGAATCCGAGAATGATTAAACCCAAAAGCTAACCACTGCCCAAGGACACTTTGAACGTGAGACAAAGGGTAGGCGACGTTATAGTTGGCGGAAGACATTTCCAGTCTTTGCCAACGGGCATGTCGGGAAATATGAAAAGTTAAATCCTCTACCTGAACTAGCCAATAAAATGTATGATATAATTACGAAGGAATACAACGTTATAGTCAAAACAATCGTAAACACATGGATTCAAATCAAGGGGCAAATACACTGGTGAATAGATTTGTTAACATTTGTGCATTTGTGTTTTCTATCCAAAACGGACACATTTAGACACATAAATCGTACATCCATTTCTCCTTACCATGCCACTTTAGATTTTAGAGAAAGAAACATGTAATATTTTAATGTAAGCACGAAATACGGACAATTCTGTATTTAAGACACGTTCAGTGAGTGAATCTATGGATTTATGCTTTCATATTCAATATTACAGGAATGACCTAAATAGCGTTATAGCCATCAATGTGTGGTGCATCAATGATGAACTTTATACATATTCCAAAGTTAAGATCGAACCCAGTCATGATGTGTGAATGATAATGAACCCAAACCTTCTCCTCTGCCCCAAGGTAGTTTGAACTTAAGATACACCAGTTCAATGACATGAGAGATGTTTAGTATTGTGCGTAACACAATGTGTCTAAATTGGTGTCAGTTTAATGGATTCAGCATCTTTCACTTTACATGATACATGTATTCATGGCATTAAAACATTTTCATCAAGTTATATTTATATTATTAAAAATATTTAGCAAATGCAAGTGCGGCTTCAAGTCAAGCGAGATTTTGAATTTGGGGATCACGATGTCTGATTTTCCGGCCCAGAATGTCCCAGAGATGCACAATCGGATTAAGATCCGGACAACAGGCCAAGGAAGAGTGGCAATAGCTTCTTGACGCAAATAAGCCAAAACTGCCCCAGATCTGTGTGGTCTAGCATTGTCGTCCATGTAAACAGGTCTTGTCTGAAGATGATGGTTGTCAAAATGAGGGACTACCACTTGACGAAGAACGGCATCTTGGTATTGTTGGCCATTGAGGTTTCCACGAGCGGAAGTTTGCAGCCGTAGGAAATACAACCCCAAATCATGACAGACTGGATTTCGTCTGACTATCCTGAAAAGACGTCTATCCTCTCTGTAAGAGGTCTTTCTTGGCCTACCAGACCTATGCCTGTCATAGACAGCATTGGTTTGACCATGTTTGACAACCAAACGAGTGATAACACTGTGATGACGACCCATTTGTCTTGCAATGGCCCTGCATGACATGCCAGCATTTTTCATGCCTATCACTTGCCAGCTTTCAGCGTTCGTTAACTTTCTCCTCACCATGGCTGATTTTCAACCTCTATTGGAAGGGGAATCTCACACAGGAGCAAAATGCAACCACGTGTCTGAAACTTGATTTTCACTATTTATAGGGTAGCAACACGTAAATCACGCTTTCCTTGTGGTATCTGGACAAATTTGGGTTCATGAAACTATGGAAGCCTAATTCAGTCATACATCATCATATCTCGTATTTCCGATTCCCACACGTGAAATCAAGAGAGTATGAATATGGTGGCGCTTAACTTTTGTGCATGTGTATATATCCAGAAGAACGTAGAATCATCCAACAGATGCCATCCTTCTACACGTTAAGACAAGACGTTTGACCTCGATCTGAATTGAAACTCACACACGGATAGTATAACGTTTTGACAGAATATACCTCAAATGTCTACGACCCGGAAAGATGGAAGTATAATCAAGTTTCCTTCATATTCTGTTTGGTGTACTCACTCTGATGGTTCCATGAGACTGGCAGTCAGTACAGACAATGTGCACAGCCTGCTGACACGCCCCGTCTTCTGTGTGGACATACAGGACATATCCCAGGATAAAGCCATTGGGAAATCTGGGAGGCTTCCAGGACAGACTGATGGAGCTGCTGGTGGTGGACGTGTTCGTGAAATCTGATACACTCCCTGGCTCTGTTGAACAATGAATACGGCAGTGGGACGATACCGTTTTTATTAATAAATGGAACTCGACATACACGATGACAGAAATGGGTCTTTAATGGGATAAACATTTATACTATGAAGGCACTTCTATTGTATTTTTTGAATGACTTATATTCACACTAACATGACAGCTGCATGTACGTGTGTGCTACAAGTAGTACATCATTGAAGTATCCTATGTGATTGAAATGTCGGAAACATACGTACGCCCAACGTTTGCAAAATAATATTCAGTTGTTTCATTCCCAGCATACGAATCATGAGCTACAACCTGTAATTGAAAGATGATGTAGTGTTCAGTTTACTAGAAATATATATGATGAATATCCAGAACCGATCCTACAGAACCGATTAAACTACCTTCTTCTGAGGTACCTTCTTTGGGCGTATAACGTATTAAAGGGTAACTGGAGGACACAGTTCGTCCTAACTCACCGAGAACATGTAGTTTACATCTGCCGTCACGGGTACAACCCTTGCGTAGTTACAGTTCGACTCAGGTCGAGTAGAAATGTTCAATCCTTGATGATTTTCTGTCACGTTGTTGGTATATTCTACCTGTCAAAATGCAAAATAATATTCGCACACAGTCCACATAATAATCGCGCACAGTACATATAATATAAATTTACTTGTACTGAATATCAATTTCATTCATACATCTTTCTCAAGTTGTATATACAAATTATTTATAAACGTGGACAAAGGCAGGATTTGGATAAAAGTAAACGTATACGTCATACCTGCGCCTTTTCTGATTATAGTGATATAATATGTTCCTCTGCACATTTTTACCATCAGTAAGACATACCTGAGCAACATACGACAGTATGTAATATTTAATGTCGCCGTGTCTTTCTGTTTCGTTGGGGCAGGAGAAGAAGACTTCCAAACTCGTGAAGTTGTCTGAAATCTGAGCGATGAGAAGATTCTCTACCTTTCCAGGAGCTATAAATGAAACACGCTCTTTATTGATAACAGTAAAAATATAATCTCAGCTGAAAGCATAGTCGATTATATGGTTCCGACTATATCATGAACACGTGTTTATAAATCACTATCAAAAAGTGATAACAAAACAAACAAGATGGGCCGGTGCGTTAAGGGATGCTGTCGAAAACAGGTGGTTGCCCTTAAATAATTGTTACCTCAATAAGTGATGTAATTATATTCAGATTGTAATTATTTCTGTTTCATTGAAAGTGCATCGAGTTATGCAAAATGTTAACATAATTATTAAAATGAGTAAATTCTATTACAGTAAAGTACGGTTATAACGAACTCAAAGGGACTACTAATTTTAGTTCGTTATAACCGTAGTTCGTTATAAGCATATATACAGTAATACAACAGCAAATAGTCGGGACCCAAAAGTAAGTTCGTTATATCCGTCAGTTCGTTATAAGCGTGTTCGTTATAACCGTATTTTACTGTAGTATTAACCATGAGACGATTCAAAATAGTATTTATGCTAAAAAGCTGTGGATATTCGGATCTGCAAGACTGAGTTGTCACTTTGGACAGCATTACTACTGGTTAGGGAAGAAAGACCGCAATGGTACCTTGTACATGTCACAGTTTGGTAAAACCCATGAGCACCTGTACAGTTTAGCAGGAATTAGAATATAATGAGGGCGAGTCTGGGGTTCGAAATCACTTGATAGGATTATGACAGGAACTGATGTGCGACAGGATATGCACCTGCTTTGTGTTTTGCAAAATCAGATTCACTTAAAGACCCAGGATTTCTCACTAAATACGTTACAAAACTGCAACGGGTCTGAATGAAGTCAAATATTTTAAAACAAATAACATTGATTGTTGTGATTATTATATTTGTCCTTCACCCCGAGGTCAAGTTGTCAGGTGAATCTATTGACGTCATTTGAATTGGTGAATGCTTCACATTTTACACCACCGCCTCACTGTGGTCATTCACGTGTAGCCGACGACGAGCTGTGATATAGAGAAACTACACGAGTGTCTGTCAGATGCCAGTTATCTCACAACAAATTGGTTGAAAACGTATCTAACGAGCAAAAGTGAGTTTGATTCGCTTTGAAACAACGACTTGTGAGATAAATGGTATCTGACAGGCGCGAGTGCAGTAATCTGTTTCATACACACCCGAGTTAATATTTTTCACCTAAATTGTTTTTACCAAATATGTACAACATCCGCATGACATCACTACCGGTGACCGACCTTTACAAAATGGCGTGTTCACTGACAACATTACGCGGGATTTATAGAGATCGATATCATTTTCGTTGAGTGAGGAATCGTATATACATTAATGTGTCATGTAAGTAATCAGAAACAATCAGACAATCTAAGTCCTGCTATTTGTTTTATGTTTTCCAGTGCAACCAAGAGAATTAGTTGTGCGTGATTTTGCGTCAGTCATTGCGTTACAGAAGAACCTTTACGATTTCTGTTAAATTTATCTGATCATTGTAATGTGACTTTGTAAACACTATCAATAGATGGCGGAAACTACTCTTCGTGTGTTTGCGTGTTTTCCAAAAATGTCTAGGCTTATCGGAAACGTTTCAGAAGTATCAATAGTGATTTGATGAAAAACAGATACCCTTGATCACGAATAAGCTGTGTTTGAAATTCAATTCTTCGAGTAAATATCCGATATTTAGATTTCTAAACACATAGTTTATAACGCTGCAAATGGAGATTTACAACGTACCTTATTTTCAGAGGTCACTTTCAGTATTTTTGCTTTGCCTTAAACGACAGTGAATGATATCAGAGAAGCGGGAATTCAAAACTGTGAAGTTAGTGTGTTTGGTGTACTTTGAATATATATTGTATTCCATATCGAAGTGAGGATTGAAGAGGAGGGACATTTATGTGGATGTGGCTTCCAGGGGGTTTACACTCTAAAACCCATAACGTTCAACACAGACGTAGATGAACATTTGACTGAAGCACGAGAAACTTTTCAATAACTTACAATCGGGACAGTAGTCCGTCATAATCAGACCTTAGGTCATCACCATGGAGTAGCCAATCACGGGCCTGGAATTCGATCTCACACATATGTTTGATACAAGTTATCTCAAATTGGTTTCTCACCCACAGGTGTGAAAGAAAAACAAGATACTGAAACAATATCAATCAGTCAATAAGTCTGTTCTCATGTTCATTGATTTCTTATTTATGTTCACGAACTCTTAATCATTCTCGCCATTTACAGACGTTTTACACTATATGTTTCCTGCGACATATATTTAGTGCTTGCAGACATACAACATGTCAGTCTCATTAAAATCAGATATTTATGCCGACAGGACAACTGTCTGCGTTAAGATCATTCATAGAAGTGCGGGACAGGATATTTGAGCAAACCAGATGTCAGTTTTTTAAAGCGACTCGGCTTCATTACTTTACATCGATTCGGATATTTCGATTTAAATTTTAACAAATGAAAATCCACACAGAACACAAATATTCTTTCGATGGGCGAAGATGTCGTGACGTTTAGAAACAACTTAGTGTATTCACAACAAAAAGGCGTGGCCTTTTTCCTTTATTTTCGGAAGATGGCAATTTAATTTCGACATAGACAATTTGGAAATGCAGGTCGCAATGTTTTGCTCACTCGTACCAATAATTTAGAACCCTCGACGCTAAGTGGTTGATTACAAACTTCACCTGACACTACTTCTTTGGAGGTGAGCTCAGTTCGTCACACAAAGGGGTTGTCGCATCATAGTAAATGATGCGATTTTAATTACAGGGTTTATGTGTGGTTATTTTGATGCATGCATGTATATGAATACATGGGTACGTCTGCCTCTGCCCCTGTCTGTAAACATAATGTATACGGGTATGTATATGTTGTAAATGTGTAAATATGTGTACATGTATGTGTTATATGTAAGTGTACACACACACACACACACACACACACACACACACACACACACACACACACACATATATATATATATATATATATATGTGTGTGTGTGTTTGTGTGTATGTAAGAGTGCATGTAAGTGTGTGTATATGTGTATAATTATGTATATATATGTACATATGTGTCTACATGCGTATATGTATGTATATGTACATGTATATAGTGTGTGTATGATTGTGTAATTATATATGTAGACTTGCATGTGTATTTGTGCTCATGTATTTTTGTATCAATGTGTATATACAAGTAAAATGTGTTCATATGGGCATTGTATGTATGTTTATGTCATTCTTGCATCCTAATGTTTATGTTTTCAGTAAATATATTTCTCTGTGTTAATTTAATATGTATGTGACTGTGTGTGTATGTATGTATATGTGTAGACGTATGTATATATGTATGCATGTATGTATATGAACATGTTTGTCTGTTTATCATATAATGGGTAGGTTTCTCTGCAGGATAAAGCCAACGGATAAATATTATATCCGTTGGGGTCATGTGCGGATAGAGATGCAGATATCAAAGGTCAAGAAGGGACTACTTTCACTGTTTACAAACAAACATTCGGCGATCGAGTCAGAATGAACCATCGGGAATCTGGAGAAACTACCGGGATAATTGCTATCATTATCAAAAGAACAGTCTCATATACTGAAAATCAGTGTCTAACTGTGACGTAGGTAAGGCGTTTTACAAGTTTGGGCAACTTTGAAGATATAAATTGCGAAACAATTTTCCGAGTACACTGGTCCTAACCAAGCAGGATCAGTAGCCATATCTGTGCTTGTAGACTTCTGCGGTTCGGAACTTTTTCCACAAATCAAAATAGTTGGATTTGTCAGAAATATGTTTGAATTGTTACCTTGTTTCGTTTTGTCGCTGTGTGTACATCTGACTGCACTTCGTAACGTTATGACGGGACTGTCAACAACGTCTGACCATGGCCGGGACTTCTCAAAGACTAGGGGTAGAGTATATATACGCGTATGTATGTATGTATGTATGTATGTATGTATGTATGTATGTATGTATGTATGTATGTATGTATGTATGTATGTATGTATGTATGTATGTATGTATGTATGTATGTATGTATGTCTATATATATATATACTAGTAAACATGTATATGTGTATGTTTGTGTGTATGAGTGTATGTATATGTGTATTTTTATGTATAATCAATGTCCTTACATATGCATTAGGGAAAGGGCCACCTGAGTTGGATAACCTTTGCCCAATCCCGTTGACCATATGTGTCAATAACATATACTGAACAACAAAAGTTCTTGTGACATTGAATAAGAATTGATGCAAAGTTATGTTTTTTACCAAATCTGAAACAATTTCGGTTTGCAACAGATGAAAGACTCCCGTAAGTGTTCAAATGGTTTAATTTGCCATACTGACTTCAGAAAATGCGTGATTTCATTAAAAAAAACATGAACATGCCAAAATGTCAATTTACAAATCAACAGCATGTGTGTCCACCTCTGGTTGGGATGCAAGCAACACATCATCGTCTCATGGAATAGACCAGGCGCCGCACAAAGTCCTGTGGGATATCTGTCCATATCTGCTTGAGCAGGTTTCGAAGTTCCTGGAGTGTCTGTGGAACACATGGTTGACGTCGAAGGCGCCGATCCATCTCATCCCACATGCGCTCGATTGGTGAGAGATCAGGGGAGCTAACCGGCCAGGGGATGAAATTCACGTTGTTTTGTTGAAGGGAATCCTGAACAAGTCGACCAATATGAGGCCGGGCGTTGTCATGTTGAAAGGTAATGCCTGGGGCATGTCGACGCAAAAACGGTAGAACAACAGGGCCGATGATCTCGTCGCGGGAATGCTGTCCATTGAGATTTCCCTCTACCACTATCAAACGGGTCCTCTGGCTTGCTGTTATCCCACCCCATACCATAACGCTGCCGCCCCCGAACCGATGTTCTTCCATGACACAATGATTGACGTAACGTTCACCTCGACGGTCGACTCGAATCCGTCCATCGCTGTGGCTGAGGTGGAAACGAGACTCGTTAGTGAATAGAACTGTCCTCACTGCATGGCCGTACAGCGCAGACTCTGTCTCCACCACTGTAGGCGTGCTTGACGGTGGTTTCCTGTCAAAATGGGACGTCTGGCGGGGCTTCTAGCGACAAGCCCTGCACATCTTAGGCGACGACCTACGGTTTGTGAAGATATTCGTCGTAGGCCAGGGATGCTTCTTGCTGTCACTGTTGCTGGCTGGAATCGATTTCGTAGGTGTGTTGTTCGAATCCAGTTGTCTTGTCGATTATTGGTTACTGCCACTCCGTGGATGGTCTCTGACTACATTCGTCTGTTGCCAACGTTGCCATAAACACCAAATGGTGTTAAATTGTCTTGCAACATCACGTTGACTATATCCTGCTTCAATCATACCAATGGCGGGCAGACGCTAATTTTCGGACAGGCGTGGCATTTCGTAATCTTGAATAATTGCGTCATTATGTTGTTTAACTGAGTGGTTGTTGTCAGCACGATGCTAAACAATGCATATGGAATCCCGTAGACGCACATATTTGTGTACCCATTCTTGGGTAGTGAAATGCATGGGGTTTGCATAAAAGTCAACTTGTGCATCGAATGCATGTTTTTCTGTAGCAGTTGCGTTTTTGTGACTTAATTCCATACACGTACTACAATATTGAAAACCAAACTTTACTTGTTTGAAAAATACACTAAAATATTGGTGTCAGAGGAACGTTTGTTGTTGAGTATATGTTTAAAACAAACAAAACAAACCTGACTCGTCTGTCCTGACAGCTTCGTTCAGAGACTCGGCACTTGAGTTGCCAACTGGAGTGGCTGCTGTGATGCTGAAGTTGTACTTCCAGTAACTCCGGAGACCCTCAACCAAGACGAATGTATTATGAAAACCTGGAGTTTGATAAGGTATGAACATAATGTAGAGAAATGTTTATCAATCCTACCCGCGCATAGTTATCAAAGACCAGGTGTGTTGTATTTGATGATGACAAATGTTCAATACAAAATGTTCATCTTAATGCATGCTAAGTTACATTTACGTTATGGTCGCAAACTACTTCATGAACAAAGTAAACAGTAAATAGGTAGAGGTATCATTATAGAGTCAAAGATTTGCACAGTGAATTAAGATAATCCAAACATCAGGTGACAGGAAGGAAATTATCGATGATTGGCAGGCCCGAGCATTAAAACCGAACGCGATATTTGTCACATGTAAATGGACATCATAACTACTTTGTAATTGTTTATGGTTTGGGAGATGCTGTCATACATATATCTAAATGGCACGAGTCATTAAATTCACAAATAATGAAAAGAAAGATGTCAAACCGTTAACAACCACAAACACCCAGTCAGAAAAGTTGATGAACACACTGCGTTGCCACAGCGATAGACAAATTACAATGTTCTGGCTGCAGCGGGGTCCGATGTGGGCTTAGTGTCAAATTTAGTAACACACTATCAGACTAGTCCCCTTAAAATAACTCGAGTTACATGGTTTACTAATCAACACCAGTCGTCTATCTGCTGATGCGGTTCAATCTTCCGTGTCACAAGTGCATTCGAATCAATGTTTCTGGCGATTTGCAAAGAGTGCTCTAGATCTGCCCACTTTGGGGGGGGGGGGGGGGGGGGGGGTCGCAAGTGCTACATGATGCTAGCTGTAGGATTTCAGGAAGTCACATTAACTTTCACTTCCATCACAATATTGTTGGTGGTGAGTGAGCAACCATCCTACAAATCTCGATGTCAAGAATTAGGTCATTAATTTCCATTTTAACATTTATTTCTGAAACAAAGTACTTATAAAAATATTATACGGCAAACAGAATCGAACTAAAATATGTCTGAGCTTTCGCCCTCGTCATTTTGTACACCAAGTCGGCACCTCACCTATGTCTAGACAGGTATGTGGACAAATTAAATGTTTGCATATTTTGGGCGACTGAATTACACACCCCTCAGTGTAGGATCTTAACAATCAAATGCATTTCCTCTTCAATTGTATCAGGAAGCTCGCATGTGGACCCAATTCTGATCATGAGGTAGCAACCCCTCTAATCTGGACTAAGAATCTCATAAATGTCGGTGCTAGGGTTGTAATATAAAGTTGTATAGCAGGAGTGTGTTATCACTTAAATCTTTAGATGCTGTGCAGAGTCGATTCAATCCGAAGTGAAATAATACATACCACTGACAGTGACATACTCTTTCTCTTGGAAGGTATGTGAGTTCAGGCTCGTCTCTTCCCCTACTTTAATGTAGTAGGTAGTGGGTCCTACCTGGTGGTCGGCAGGGGTCCAGCACAGGGTCACACTCGACGAGCTGTTCACAAAGGCCTGCAACACCTTTGGTTGTGATGGAACTACAAAAACAAAATATTGACAGGTTGGGTATATTGAAGGTTATAGCTTGTACACACCAGGCTCTCGCTATAAACGTCACTCCTTGTCAAAGATCTATCCATCTATCTATCTATTTATCTGTCTGTCTGTCCGACAATAACAAGTATTTTTAACAAAAGCTTGATGAGTGGCCAGTTCCCACAAATGTTCAAGCAGGTTGTCGTACAGCCCTTCTCAAAAGATTCATTTTCATCTAAAGTAATTGAAAATGCTGTGAGCTTCAGCACCAAGGACCATCTTTCCAAATATATAGAACACGTCAACGCCAGAGAACAACCAGTCTCGATTGCGTGAAAAGCAAAGTCACATATGCTGAAACTCAATAACAGTCAGCCGGGGGCAGTCTTGGTTTGAACTTCACATCAGGCTGGGAAGGTTACAACAGAGATAGCAGTGACGTCGCAGATGCCAGTATCAAAATATTTAACTCTGTCAAAGATCCTGCATTATACACTGATGCCAGCTTATCCATGGAGACTCGAGGAAATCGTCTGAGCCAAACCTGCCTATTCCATCTCCGGGCTATCGATAAAATCTGACTGTATGTTACTGCCAAAGCTATACATGCACTTCTTCGAGTTCTCTGGAAGTAGATACCTGATTTTATCATAGTTTCACCAATCAGAATCAAGGTATCGTCAGTGTCATGGTAGAAATAACATTAACATCATCACACTTACCAGTCATGTTTGTTTGAACAGAGGTGTTCCTCTCCTCCCCTGTTCCGTTTATGTTAACACAGTATATTACTATTGTGTAGTCAGTATAAGACAGTAAGGCTGTAATATTGTAGTCATATTGCTTATTTCCGTCTTGGTTGACAACAGCGGCACTCTTCGTATTTGAAGTGTCAACTGCTTTAAATTCGTGCTTTCTCTGTAACATGAAATTACACATATAGAAGTATCCACAGACGGAATCATAGCAATTTTACTGTAACTGTGGAAAATTGTACGCTTTCATTCTCTTCTTTATACTATGCATTTTATTGTCGATGACAAACGTGAGTTAAAACCATAAAAAACTGATATACATGTATTTCCATTAAGACAGAATGAATGGAGCTTTCACATCGTGTTGTGATCAGAAAACGAGGAAGAGTAACCAATGGTTATGCTCACGTCTTCCGTAGACCGGTAACAGGTTACATTTATAACTCTGTCAGGTTTGTCGCCGGATGTAACGTTTATCAGATACCCAAGGATGTTGCCATTTGGAAGTGATGGCTTGGTCCACCGAACAGTGATGGAATGTGCCGTTGTATTCGATACATCCAAACTAGCCACGGGACCAGACGCTAGGGAAACGTAAATATTCGTGTTATGCACATATAAGACATGGACCTATGAAGAAAATGTTTCATTCGTTTCATATTGTTTTATAATGCAATGACTACATTTGGATATCCGGTATGTCCTCAAAGCAGAGTTCAGACTCACTCACTCAGTGCACTAATTGAACAAATGTAAACATAAGTTGACCTTTCACTTTAAAAACAAGTATGAACATGGTGTAATATTTACATATGACACATTTTTGGAACAGTTTAACTTACCTCCAGTAAGCGTGATATAATTCTTTTCGGAAACGGTTCCATTGTATATGTTGAATGCGTGTACCTGTAATCAAATCAAGTTTGTCACTTAGTTTGTAGTGGAGGTAAGTTAAGGAATACGTACAACGCGTTTTACTCTGAATTGTTTAGAAAAGCTGATACTGAAGCTGACATTCACTACATCCCCAGCAAAGGAATCATATGCTACAACCTGAAATTGAAGAGGATGATGTACTGTTCACTTAACTTGAAAAATACATATCATAAACAACCAGTACCCATCCTCCAAGCGGTATATAGCTTAGGATTTAACTATCTTTTTCTGATAGATTGGTTTCTGAGCTTCATTAGGATGCCACCCTTCACATATGTACATCTAAACAAGTGCAACAATTATCAAGTACCCATTTGGACACGTGGTGTCCTTCTATCCAGTGTCAACAGCATGTAGTTTTGCTTTGTTTACAAGAGAAGTGTATGGAATCATCTGAGATATTTAGTGCTAAGTTCATTGGGGTTATAAAAGTATTAAAGGGGAACGGGATGATTTGCATACGCGAACATACAATAGTGAACCTTCTTTGTACACACAGTTTACCCTAACTCACCGAGAACATGTAGTCTACTTGCGCTGTGACGGGTACAACCCGTGAGTAGTTACAGTTCGACTCAGCTGAAATGTTTAATCCTTGGGGATTTTCTGTCACGTTGTGATTATATTCTCCCTGTAACAGAATGTAACAGAATAATCACACACAAAATATATTATTTTCAATGCACATGGACTCATCATAAATATCAATCCTAATCAGAAACCTTCCTCCCTAAACCCCTGTGTGTGTGTGTGTGTGTGTGTGTGTGTGTGTGTGTGTGTGTGTGTGTGTCTGTTGTGTGTGTGTGTGTGTCTCTGTGTGTTTTTGTGTGTGTGTGTGTGTGTGTGTGTGTGTGTGTGTGTGTGTGTGTGTGTGTGTGTGTGTGTGTGTGTGTGTGTGTGTGTGTGTGTGTGTGTTTGTGTGTGTGTATGTAGTATATGTAAATATACTATCTGTTATCTGACATTCGTACACTTTCTTGTCATTAAAGTCATAAAAAGCGTCATGTTTAAGCGTAAGCACATATTTACCATACCTGAGCATCATACGACAGTGTGTAATATTGTATGTCGCCGTGACGTTTGGTTTCATTGGGACAAGAGAAGAAGACTTCAACACTCGTGAAGTTGTCTGGAATCTGAGCGATGTGAAGATTTTCTACCTTTCCAGGAACTATGAATGAAACACGCTCTTAATTGATAACAGTAATAATATAACATCTGCTAAAAACAGAGTCGATTGTTCGGTTCCGAATTTTTCATAAGCATTAGGTTATGATTCATTGTCAAAAAGTGATAACAAAACAATTAACATGGGCCGGTGCGTTAACTGTTATGTATTCTGTCGAAAATAGATCCCTATTTGCTATTAAATAATGTTACCTAAATAAGTGATGTAATTACATATCAGTTGCAGTGACAGTATATTGAGTTATGCAGTATGTTAAAAGGAAACTTAATTTCAACTCTATTAGTATTATTTATGAAATAGAATTTATACTAAAAAAGCTGTGGATCTGCAAGACTGAGTTGTCGCTCTGGACACCATTTCAGTTTGGTTATGGAAGGAAGACAAAAGTGGTATAGTTTCAGATGTTAATCATTTTGGCAAAACTCACAAGCATCGGTGCGGTTTAGCAAGAATTATGAAATTATTATACCTGATTCATTTGTCCGGACATTTCCTTCCAGAGACACGACACTTGAGTTGCCAACTGGAGTAGCTGCTGTGATGCTGAAGTTGTAGTTCCAGTAACTCCGGAGACCCTCAACCAAGACGGATGTATTATGAAAACCTGAAGTGTAATAAAGTATGAACATAATGTAGAGAAATGTTTATCAATCCTACCCGCGCATAGTTATCAAAGACCAGGTGTGTTTTATATGATGATGAGAAATGTTCAATACAAAATGTTCATCTTAATGCATGCTAAGTTACATTTACGTTATGGTCGCAAACTACTTCATGAACAAAGTAAACAGTAAATAGGTAGAGGTATCATTATAGAGTCAAAGATTTGCACAGTGAATTAAGATAATCCAAACATCAGGTGACAGGAAGGAAATTATCGATGATTGGCAGGCCCGAGCATTAAAACCGAACGCGATATTTGTCACATGTAAATGGACATCATAACTACTTTGTAATTGTTTATGGTTTGGGAGATGCTGTCATACATATATCTAAATGGCACGAGTCATTAAATTCACAAATAATGAAAAGAAAGATGTCAAACCGTTAACAACCACAAACACCCAGTCAGAAAAGTTGATGAACACACTGCGTTGCCACAGCGATAGACAAATTACAATGTTCTGGCTGCAGCGGGGTCCGATGTGGGCTTAGTGTCAAATTTAGTAACACACTATCAGACTAGTCCCCTTAAAATAACTCGAGTTACATGGTTTACTAATCAACACCAGTCGTCTATCTGCTGATGCGGTTCAATCTTCCGTGTCACAAGTGCATTCGAATCAATGTTTCTGGCGATTTGCAAAGAGTGCTCTAGATCTGCCCACTTTGGGGGGGGGGGGGGGGTCGCAAGTGCTACATGATGCTAGCTGTAGGATTTCAGGAAGTCACATTAACTTTCACTTCCATCACAATATTGTTGGTGGTGAGTGAGCAACCATCCTACAAATCTCGATGTCAAGAATTAGGTCATTAATTTCCATTTTAACATTTATTTCTGAAACAAAGTACTTATAAAAATATTATACGGCAAACAGAATCGAACTAAAATATGTCTGAGCTTTCGCCCTCGTCATTTTGTACACCAAGTCGGCACCTCACCTATGTCTAGACAGGTATGTGGACAAATTAAATGTTTGCATATTTTGGGCGACTGAATTACACACCCCTCAGTGTAGGATCTTAACAATCAAATGCATTTCCTCTTCAATTGTATCAGGAAGCTCGCATGTGGACCCAATTCTGATCATGAGGTAGCAACCCCTCTAATCTGGACTAAGAATCTCATAAATGTCGGTGCTAGGGTTGTAATATAAAGTTGTATAGCAGGAGTGTGTTATCACTTAAATCTTTAGATGCTGTGCAGAGTCGATTCAATCCGAAGTGAAATAATACATACCACTGACAGTGACATACTCTTTCTCTTGGAAGGTATGTGAGTTCAGGCTCGTCTCTTCCCCTACTTTAATGTAGTAGGTAGTGGGTCCGTCCTGGTGGTCGGCAGGGGTCCAGCACAGGGTCACACTCGACGAGCTGTTCACAAAGGCCTGCAACACCATTGGTTGTGATGGAACTACAAAAACAAAATATTGACAGGTTGGGTATATTGAAGGTTATAGCTTGTACACACCAGGCTCTCGCTATAAACGTCACTCCTTGTCAAAGATCTATCCATCTATCTATCTATTTATCTGTCTGTCTGTCCGACAATAACAAGTATTTTTAACAAAAGCTTGATGAGTGGCCAGTTCCCACAAATGTTCAAGCAGGTTGTCGTACAGCCCTTCTCAAAAGATTCATTTTCATCTAAAGTAATTGAAAATGCTGTGAGCTTCAGCACCAAGGACCATCTTTCCAAATATATAGAAAACGTCAACGCCAGAGAACAACCAGTCTCGATTGCGTGAAAAGCAAAGTCACATATCACTGCAAACACGAAAACGTCGTTTTTTTCTGTATATGGTCATTCGACGGAAAAACGACGTTATTTGGACGTTTTCAAACCATCGTTTTTCCGTCCAAATAACGTCGTTATTTGACATCGGAATTTACTGGGAGAGAACGATAGCGTTAAGCTCCTCCCTTTCTTGATTGACATTGTCAATCAAGCAACAGCGTCTACCGGTATTTCTACTTCTCAGATTTCATTGGTCAGTCCCCGCGTGTTAGATTACAGGCCCGCTATTGACGCTGCACTCGAAGCGCTTAGCGGAAGTAGTGAAATCAATCGTTCTGCGCAGGCGGATTACTTAATGCCTTGACCAAATTTTCCGTTCTGTGCATGCGCGATTTCGCGTATTGTTTCCTAGATTTAATGTCACCACTATTTGACAATGGTTCATAAACACAGTCACGTGAAGGTTCGGAATCGTAACGAGTAACTCCATTTAAATTGAAGAGGATTCCCAGTGATATGGGAGATTCCAAGATGAAACTATTCTATGGCCATCTAGGCTGCCACCCAAACCGATCTAAACGGGACCCGATAGCTTATTGTATGCTATATAGTCATATGGAAGTGGACAAGAACTATACATTGTATTCCGGCCGATTGTTCTTGCATTTACTTATAAGTCAGGAAAATGGACTTAAAAGGGGAGTAGTTGAATGTAATTATTTTAATTATTAAATGTTGCCTATACACTAATCTGGACGAACTTCTTATTGTTCTGTTTATGTCATCCTATATACTATTAGTATGTTACCGTTCTAAAGTCAACCTCTCACATAACATTATATTGTTCATAGTATCAAGTTTAATCAACAATATCAAGAGCAGCGATTTAAACCACTGAAACACCCAAACACAAGGCTGTTATCAAGCGCTAGTGCAGACGTGATGCATCGTAAAAACTGTATCGTGATGTCTTCAGAAATTCAATTATACTACGAGATAGTACGGCTAACGCTGACTCACCGGTGGAACAAAGACAATATCGCTAATACAGATATAACGTATTTGAATGTTAATACTAAAGACAAACAATCATTATTTTTGCAGTGACGATATAACACGTATACACGTTTATTGTTAACTTTCATCAGTTTTGCTCTTCATTTTAATAACTTTGTTTTCACATATATATTTAGCAATACCCGACAAGCATGTCATACATAATTATGGGGCAGTTTTCAATCTTGTACTGACTTACTCTGGTGTTAATGAGCGAAGTTTATTGGCTTGTTTGTAAAACCCCGTTTTTCTTGTAATCCTATTATTACTTAGTTTAATTCTATCTAATGACACCCTGTTCTCTGGATCATGGCTCCGTGACTATCCATAACAATTAAGATGAACATTCAGTTCAAGTAAATGAATGAGTTTGTTTTGACGCTATAGTCAGTCAAAAAACCAATGCTGTGAGGTTTGATAACACACTTCTACCAGGTCGAACATCGTGGATCCTCATTTTCTGCCTAAAGAGAATCATAGTTCATATGCTAATCCATCTGCGAATACCCTCCCACTCAAGATGACCTTACTTGTTGCTAAATCTATCATCTATCCCCCTAATCTCACCCGCCCCCACCCCCCACACGCACGCACGCACGCAAACACGCACACACGCACACACACGCACGCACGCACGCACACACACGCACACACACACACACACACACACACACAAACAACTGACCTAAATAACCTGGACAGGAAATACTGCTGATAGCCTCTGGTCAACTCAGCCGCGCCACCGCAGAATGTTCGTCCAACTCTGCAGGGGGCATTCTCAGTGGCTTCAACCGCGCTGAAATGTTTTCGCCTTGCATCCAAGATGGTGGACAAGTGAAATCGTATGAAATTTGGCTATTTTAGGTCCTATCTCTTTTTTGATTACCCAAAAAAGTCAATTCATAGTTACACGGTTGTGAAGAAGTTTACAACTTTATAAGACTTATTCATCTCATTCCAAAAAAGCTACTCGCGCTCACATAAAGTTGTAGTTATTATGTCACTGTTTTATTTCTTTAAAAATATATTACATGTTCAACAATAACAATTAAGATGAACATTCAATTTCTGATATAAGTAAATGAATAAGTGTGTTTTATGCCACAATCAGTCAAAAACCAACGTTGTCCGGTCTGATGACACACAATCTACCAGGTAGCACATTGTGTACACCCTATCCCCATTGAAGTCTCCACTGTGGGTATTCCTGGGGACGAAAAGGCCCCATGTACCTAGGAATTTCATCAATACATTCATGCGCGGCATTCTCTGCCTAAAGAAGATCATATAGTTAACATGCTAATCCAACTCGAACTACCATCCCGCTCAAGATGAATGATTTATGTAACATCCAACAGGCCCACATTTACGCACGCACGCACGCACGCGCACACACATATTTGGATTTACCAATCCCTGAATTGAGAAGACGTGCGTTACGAAGCTCCTCCAAGTCATCATCAATATCCGTATATGTTTGTGATATCATTACCCATCCAAAGCCGAATATACATTTATTGTGTTTTCTTGACAACAAATGTTATAATTGGGATAACACTTTCTGAGTAAAGTACAGATTCTCGTACTTTCTTGGGTTGAGCCCCGTCCGGGATTTGAACCCACACTGTGAGTGAGGCACCCAATCGCCAGAACACAAAGTTGGCGATCTAACCCAGCCACCGAACCAAAAATGTTAGTCCAGATGACGTATACTTTGTGAACTCCTCTGACAAGAGAAAAATCGCACGGCTTCTATGACCGAAAGTTTTGAACCAACAATGCCTTTAAGAAAGTGGTCAACAGTAACACACATTATATTTGGATACCACTTTCTCAGTAAACTACATATTTTTAGGGTGGAGATAATAGACGTTGATGGTTGATTATCAATGGACAAATTAAAGCCAAAACTTAACTTATGAATGATTGGTAATGGGAAATGGACAATGGGCAAACGGGAGGCGGGGTAATCAGCGCCATGCCAGTTATCTGTTGGCTTCCCTTGTTGCGTTCCCTTCTTTGCTATCTTTTTACTTTTGTTGTTCTTACAGGTACAAATATATGTTCTCTGCCTCATAGCATTGAATAATATGCCCCTGATGAAGGAGAAAGTATATATTCCGAAACGCAGTGTTCCTCCGTTGACATCCATAAATATTTTTCCTTGTGTGTATCAGTTCTTAATGCCCTTCAAAGACTCAATCTAGCTTTGTTTTTAAATGTGGTGATATTTGCGTAGAATATAATATGGTCATGCCTATATACATGTACATTTGGGTCTTTGTCTACATAAGCATTTAGACATACAATTTAGAGCTAAGGACATTGCTAATTCTGCAGGCATGAAGTACACGTCATAGCAAGCTGTGATCTTTATTCATACTTTAGATATTCGTAATGGAGATCTGTAACTGAAGTTTACCGTAATCTTCCGCAACTCTCACCTCCTGACCAGTTGAACGTCTTAGTGCATTCAGATGCCATTGTAAAATTCCAGGCTGCCCCTCTTTCTGTGATGTTTTGACGGATGAAATCTATTGCGTTATAATAATCTCTCTTTGCTGATATATAATATGTACATGTTGTAAAATATTTACGATATTTTAAACGTGTAATTCGATGCATATGCAATGTGAACATAAGTGCGGATGCACGAACGCGGTTATAGTCATAGTTATACTGCAATGGATGTAGGGGAATGGTAGGGAGGGTGTATGTATGTATGAAAGCACGAATACCGATACATGAGGGCGGATATAGTTATAGTTCGATGGATGTTGGGGAATGGTGGGAGGATGGATTATGTATGAAAGCATGCGCATGGATCCATGATGGCTGACGTAGACATAATGGTGGGGAAAGAAGAATGTGTGTGTGTGTGTGTGTGTGTGTGTGTGTGTGTGTGTGTGTGTGTGTGTGTGTGTGTGTGTGTGTGTGTGTGTGTGTGTGTGTGTGTGTGTGTGTGTGTGTGTGTGTGTGTGTGTGTGTGTGCGTGCGTGCGTGCATGCGTTGTGATACGAGGGTTGGCGAACATGTTGTGAGATGATTGTGTGAGTAAGTTAAGTGGTTGAGGATGTGGCAGGTATGAGTATTGATACATGCAGACTTGGGGTTGGGGGACTGGTTGTGCCTGTACTGAGGTCTTTTGTTTCACTCACTTATAGTGTTTTCTTTCACTCAAATACTGTTTTACGCATTTTAATGACTGCAACTGTAGTGACTCAAAGGTCATACTGGCCGGGCATTCAACATATCTACCCCAACTACATACGTAGCCATTTTTATGGTGTACAATTCTTCTTCTACCTCTCACCCACCCACCCACCCACACACACATACACACACACACACACACACACACACACACACACACACACACACACACACACACACACACACACACATGCATTAATTGTTTTATTAAATGTATCTTCGAGAGTCAGTAAGAAACTAGAAATAACTGCCTTTGTTCTGTAAACCTCTCCAAGTTTCAGCTTTCGCCTCTTCCTTTGTGGACTGAGGTTTCATATTTGTAAAATGATCTCTCTTATCTGTCTGTACCATCAACTTAACTGCCCTCACCCCCTGCAGTTTTCCCGTCCTATATTGCCAAGCAGGTG